CGGGGCGCGGGCGCGGGCGGGACGGGGGGGTCGCGGCGTCGTTGCGCGCGACGGGGGGGGTGGGGAAGAAACGAGTTGGGAAGAACACGCATAAAGTTGTTCGTGGAGTGAATATTGGAAAGGTCAAGTTGCGGAAAAACGCCGTGGTGCGGGGGATTAAGATTGTGGACGCGGCGACGAAGCAAGCGGCCATCGACGCCATCGCCGAGGAACGAGGAACGGGCCCGGTCGGCATGTGAGACCGCGGACGAAGCGATGCGAGGCGTGAGTGTAATGCTAACTATTCTACGACGACGTGACCGGTAGCGCACCGGTGCGCCGATGCAGAGACTATCGCGCAAAGCTTTTCGCTCGCGCCGCTCAGCGCGGTTTATCGCAACGCATGACGTAGAGCCTCTCCTCATCCGCTCGACACTCGCTGACGATGGCGCTTCGCAGACCCATCGCCTCCATCATCGCCATAATCTCTCGCGGCTTATTCTGCTCGATGAGGACGCACAAAAATATCCCTCCCGGCGCCAGGGCGTCGCGCACGTCTGGTAACAACCGGTCCAACACCTCTCGCCCGTCGACGCCGCCGGCCCACGCGCTGGCGATTCCGTCTCGTCCCACCTCCTCGCTCGGCGTCACCACGTACGGTGGATTAAACAGCAGGACATCGATGCCTCCTCGCGCCTCGATCGCGTCGCGATGCGGCTCTAATAAATCCCCTCGCGCGACGACGCACGCGCGCGCGTCCACGCCGTGCGCTCGCAGCGTCGCCGCGCACGTCTCCACCGCTCGCGCGTTCACGTCGGACGCCCGCGTCGTGGTGATTTCCCCGCATCCGTGCCCTCGGGCGAGCAGGGCGTTGGAGCACGCGACGTAGCCGCTCCCGGTACCGATCTCCACGCACAGCGAAGGTTTGCGCGCTCGCAGCGAGGTGTTCCACAGCGAGCTCAGGGCGTCGACGAGGAGGAAGGAGTCCTCGGCGGGGGGGTAGACGTCATCGTGACGAGCGATCTTCGCCATGGAGGCGAGATTGGGGTCGGGCATCGCGATCGATGGACGCGTCGAGACGTGCGGCGCGGGCGCTCGCGTCGACGTCGTCGGATGCGTCAGAGGTGGAAAATGTATACTTTTACAACAGGAGCACCTTTAGTTGAAAATCGGCGCGGTGGTCTCAACAGCTCGGCGCGTTGGGCTTGTTACCACCCTTTCCGTCGCAGTCGGTTCGAGCGCACACGGGAGATTTGTAGACGCAGTAGACGTCGTTTCGACCGACGCTGTTGCCGCACTGCGTCTTTGTGTTGTAGCACGCTTCGTAACACTTGTCTCCCGACTTGAACCAGCCGGATGGACACGAGTCCGCGTCCACCGCGCTGGCGGTTGTGTCGCACGTTTGCGTGGAGACGAACTCACCTCCACTAGATGTGCACGCGTGGTGCGAAATCGGCGCGGTGTAATCAAACTTGGGCGCCTCGTAAAGGTCGAGTTTGAGCTCGCACTTGGAACCGAGATTAGTGGTCGTGACGAGATCCAAGTCGAACGAGATACCGGGAAACTCGGAATACCAACCAGCGCCGGCGACGGCACCATCTTTTCGGAGTCGGCACTTGTCATCGTTGTATCCAGCAAAGCGGTCGGCGAAAACCGCCTCGAGTCCAGATCTACCGTTGAAGCAATTATTGTGACCACTGTGAGCCGCGGCGTACACATCTGCACCCGCGTACACGGGCTGTCCAGCTTTAATTATGGGGCCAGTACACACGAGTCCAGCCCAACAGAGCTGGATGGAGAAATCTTCGAGCTCGGCCATGACGCCCAATTTCATGGACGAGGACATCTGCGCGGTAGTCTGCTGTTCCAGTTTCACCTTCGGACTAGTCGGCAGCGTGAGCATAGGCTCTCCGTCACTGAGCCCGAGATCGACGAACAGTCCGTCTGACACGAGCTTGTATTCGAAGTGACCCTGACCGTTCGCCATAAAGTAGTAAGGGAGCGTCAATTTGAGGGCTCCCTCGACGATGATGTAGAAGCCAAATTTAAGCATTTTGAACTTCCGGAACGATTTCACGAATTTGCCTTGACTCAGATCTCCGGTCCTGTACAAGTCTGCCGTTGCGTCGATCTCTACCGACGCATCCATGTCAACTTTGAAGCGTAAGTTGAAAGATATGGATTTCATGCCCAGTTGAAAGGCATCCGTCATCGCACCAATGAGCTTGTCGCCATCCAAAATACCGCCGAGCTCAGCGGATGTTTGCTGCGCTGCGTGGTGACGCTGTGCGGCGAGAAACAGATCTTCTCCACTGTGCATCGCTTTGATTATTTCCAATTGTTTCCTGGTACTTCGCTCGAGCTCTCGCACCTCGGCCAAATACACATTTTCAAGTCGACCAAAAGTTGCCGCGCGCTCGAGCTCTTCATCCCAGTAGGGCACGTCTTCGCGTGTTCCAGACTTCAGGAGTCGACGACGTCCGAAACCAGGGATGCTCTTAACAGTTCGGTCGACGGTGTTGAACGCGCCAGCGACCCAGTCTTTGGCAGCCTTAATCCCGTCCGTCAATCTGTTCGTCCAGTCCGTCAGAGTTCTCACAGAGGCATCAAAAGCTGGCTTGATGACATTCACGAAAGCATCAGCGATCGCCTTCGCAAAACCAAAGGAAATACCGAAGTCAGTAAGACCAGCACACGTCTTCATGCCACCCTTGACATTAACTTTAATGCTAGCTTTGACCTGCTTTGTGATTTTGGTCAAACGACGCTCCATCTTAGAGCCTTTCTTCGGAAACGGAGAGCTAAATCCGTTCGTGCTTTCATCAATCGTGTGCTCAATCCGAATCTCTTCGCACACGGCAGTCAAGCATGGAATGACGGGACACTCGTTTCCCCCAACAGCCGCCGGCGGTTCGGGCACCATGACTTTGGCGAGCTCCTCACCGTAAAATATTTCTGCGAGCTTTCTCTCGACTTCATGATCGTGTCGCGGAGCGAGTTTACCGAGGCGAGATTCTCCGAGTCTTGCCTGAGCTGTTTCACTCAAATCACACACCAGCGCATCCTTGACGCCGCTCAGAAGAGAATCGACACCGGGGATGATGCTAGCGAGCAAGTCCGATATGACGGCGCCGCACTTTTGAGCTAGCGCCCAAAGGTCCTGGCCAAGAGCAACTATCGCCTTACCGATGTCTCTGATTAAATTTGCAACGTCGTCTTTCAGCCTGATTATCTTGTTGATGATGTTTTGCACTTGGCTCGTGAGGTTGTTGAGCTCTCGTTTCAAGTCGTCCCAAAATGCGCCGAGCTTGGCATTCTGGCGAATGTAAAGACCGAGATTCTCGAGATCGTCTCCCATCAACGCCGTGACATTTTCCAGATCCTTCTTGACGCTCTCGATGAGGTTGTCCTCGTCGAGCACGCAAAAGGTCCCGGTGGCATTCACCTCTTTGTTGTAACCTGGTTCGCACGCAACACACTTGTTCGAGGTCTCGTCCAATTGCCAACCGAGTTCACAGAACGAACACTTGCCTTTCAACGTGGTTGATCGCTTGCACTTGGTCTCGAGGTATTGTATTTCACTTTTACAGTACTCAGTGTCCCACGAGCACTTATTCTCACCTGTGCACCTGAAAACCGGGCAGTGCCAGTTGAGCTCATGGAAGCCACCAGGGGCGAAACCACTTACTTGTTCAGCGTCTTCGCCGCACGATGTTGAAGAAAACTCACACGATGCAGTAATTTGTTCTTGCGATGCGCAGTGCTCGGGCTTAGGCCAGTCCTTTTCTTCGAACGCACACTTTTTGCCAACGTCAAACGTATTTTTATGAAAGATCATGAGATTGTTCCTTTTTGAGCAGTCTTCCTCTGCGTCCGACACGACGTCGCGCACGAAAGTCGCAAAATCAACGCCATCGAAGTGCGTTTGCTCCTTCGATATCTCACACGTGTAAAAAAGCGCCTCACGTATCTCGAAGCTTTCGCGGCACCCACATTTTTGTGAGATGCACGTCAAAAAGTTTGACTCGGACGGTGCCCGCACGGTCTCGTTGCAAAACGTCTTGAACGACGATTCTGGCCTTGAACACGATTTTGCACACGGAATCGCGGCAAGGAAGTCGTTGTACACTGTTTCAAAATCAGCGTTGAGGAGTCTGTGTGTGATGGTGTACGCGACGTCGGATGTCGTCTGTACCGTCTCGGGAGCAGCGCTCGCGTTGTCGCCACCAATCACCTCGATCGAACCTTCGGATTGACCGAGAGAACTGACTCGAACGCGACGCAACATCTCATGCTTGCGGTATCTGGCGCTTGAAAGCATCCAGTTCGTCGTCACCTCGCGCTCGGAGAGCGCACGCTCGGCGAGGCCCGGCGTCGGCGCGCTCGGGGTCCCATAGCGCCGCTGTATCAGCTCGTTACCGATGTCACTCAGCTTTTCACCGTATAAAACCGTTTGCATCGTCACCGCCACCGCCAGGGTCGCGACGAAATACCACCTACCGTCGCGCGCGATTCGCCCCTCGTCAGTCTCTCTCTCGCTCGTTTCGCGCGCGCGCCGCCGGTTCCGCGCGCGCGTCGCTCGCGCGACGTCCCGACCCATCGCGACGCGTCCATCACCATCCCTCACTCCCCATCCCTCTCTCGCGTCCGCGCCGCGCGTTCGCCGCCCCTTCCGCGCCCTCGCGCCTCGCCCATCGTCGGAACGAATCGCCGACCCGTCGCGCGCACCTCCTCGTCCCTCGCCCGTCGTCCCTCGCCCGCGCGCCATCGTCCGCGCGCAACAGCGGCGTGCGCTCGTCGCCCTCGCGTCGCCATCGCGACGCGCCCATCGTACGCGCGCGCGCGTGTGCGGCGCCGCCGCGCGTCGCCCGCGCCCGTCGCCGCTCGTTGGGTGTTCGCCGAGGGTTCCCGAGGGTGTTGCCGTCGACGCCGTCACCGTTTTTTGCCGTCGCCGTCGTCGTCGTATTGGAGCCGCGTCGGCGCTGTGTGCGTTCACCGAGGGTGTTGGATGTTCGCCGAGGGTGTTGGATGTTCGCCGAGGGTGTTGCGCTCGCGGTCGTTTCGTTCCGCGCGCGCGTGCGCCCGCACGCGTCGACGCGGTGTCTTCGAAGATGACGCGCGCGACGGACACGGGGCGATCGAACGCGCGCGCGGTGGCGCTGTGCGCGGTGGCGCTGTGCGTCGCCGCGCTCGGGGCGCGCGAACTGGCCGAATCGCGGGCGCTCGGTAATTTCATCCTACCGAAGGGACACGTCTGGGACACGGCGGTGACGCGGGCGGAGAGACGGACGGCGCTCGCGGCGAAGATCGAACGATGGGCGCGACTGGGCGTGAAGGTCACCGTGTCGGAGAACGAGACCACGAGCGTGCTCACGGACGAAGGCTATTCCGAAGGAGACGACGCGGACGCGACGACGGAGACCTTCACGGAGAGAGATTCAGGAAGCGCGAACACGACGGTAGACTCGCCCGAGGAGCTATTCGCGATGGGCATGCGTAGTACGGCGTGCATCAAAACGTGTCTGGGGGATGTTCAGGTGGAGAAGATTCTCGAAGGGAAGGGTTGCTCTGCAATCGACGGCGACGACGACGGCAAGCGCGCGAAGCTGGTCTGTGTGCACGAACGCTGCGAGTGTGCGGAGGCAAGAGCGGTGCAAGAAACCTTGTTTTACACATGCGATGCGCGCAAAAGTGGCGCAAACTTCACTTATACGGACTTGATGGACTTTTACGACGCCAGTCTCGAGACAGCGTTTGACGACTGCGTGGCGAGCAAAGAGGATGATTTGTTGGACAAGCAGCTCAACGCTCCGTGGGATGCGTCGGCGAACAAGTCACTGGAAAGTTTGGATATAACGCCGATATCCACGAACACTTCTGGCGTACCTGCACTGGGAGCGTGGTGTCATCTTCCGGGCGACGCGGCGTGGCCATCGATGTGCGCCGTCCCAGCTCTTGATAATCCTAGCTGTACGTTCCACTCCGGATGCGGCAGGGGTTGCCCATGGGGTGCGGCACCCATCGGTACGTGGCATTGCGGCTGGTGCTGTCACTGGTGCTGGAGCTGGCCTTGCTGGTGCTGGTGCAGTTGTCGCTGGAGACGCTGGAGGTTACGCTGCAGCTGCGGCTGTCACTGGTGCAGCGCGTGCGCAGCTCTGCCCACGTTCGAGTTCAGGTGCTACCGCCAACGCTTCGCACGACGAACGGGTGGTTGTTGGACGTGCGTTCCGGGCTATGAGTGGCGAAACGGCCGATGCCAGCTCATGGGTTGGATCCAAGACATCATAAATGGCATCAACACAGCAAAGAGGACCATCGCCGATGCACCGGGGGCGATTTCTCGCGCAGCAAGCGATGTACAGAGCGCCTTCGACGCCATCGGAGATCGTATCCGAGACATCGCCTCGAAAGCGGAAGATCTGGCGAAGAATTTCGCCAAAAAGGTATCGGACTTATTTGACGCAATCGCAAACTCAATCGTCCCAACTAGTCCAGAGGCTGTGGTGCGTGGCATCGAGAAAGCTTTCATCTGCGGCAGCAACGCGGCTAATCTGGGCGATGAACCCGAGCATATCGTTCAACCAGTGTACATGGGTCTACTCGATCCCGTGAACGAAGATGCTTTACACGGTATGATTCAATCCATCATGCGCGGTGAGGACATCAGTGAGCACACGTGGACAACACACCGCAAGGTTCGTAACCCGCATTACAAACCAGTCGCTGATCTCGGAGGAAACGCAACCGCCGATCTCGGATGGTGCCCCCCTGCCTTCAGCGCTCCTAAATGGCCCGATTTCCCCGATATTAACGTAAACTGGGGTGGTATTCCATGGCCGCCGGCAACGCCAACAATTCCGATGCCTGGCTTTCCTGACGTCAAACTTCCGCGAATGCCTGGTTTAACATTTCCAGGTCTTCCGGGTTGGTCACCAGTGTGTCTCCTCACTCAGGTATGCATTGCTCCGAAAATCGATTTCAGTATCGAGAAGAATCATGGCATGGAACTTGACATCGCAAAGAAGTTACACGGCAGTGGAACCGCGAATGCGAACTTCGAAATGTCTCTCGACACCAAGTATCCCATCAGTGTGTGCATTCGTGTGCAAAAAGTCAAAATTCCGTTCGAAGTGATTTCTGAGTCCATCTCAGTCATCTTGAAATGGATGAAAGGAAAACTCATGGTCGCGTTTGACGCCATCAAGAATTGGGGACAACCTATCGCTGATGCTATTGAAAGTGCTAAGGACGTCGTCAAGGATGGTATTGATGAAGTCACTGGTTGGTTCAAAAGTATCGGTATCGGCCGTCGACTCCTCGACAGTGAAGATATAACCACCGAGGAAGAGGCGAATGAAGAGATTGCGTATCGCAAGCGTATCGCCGAGGAAATGCAGTCACGTCAGCTTGCCCTCGCGGCGAGGTACCTTGGTCGCCTTGAGGCAGCGTATTCTACATACGCTCCAGAGATGGAGTCGCACGTGCGACTCGAGACAGAACGCATGCGAACAACCGTTAAGTCTCACCCGATTTTCCACAGTGGTCATCACCACGACGCTGCTACACTTGGAGTCGGTCTTCTAGATTTTGCCGACAAAGAACTCACGGATGGGCTGCGCGACGCATTCCTCAAGATGCGAAAGGCAGCTTTTGTGATGGCCGTCGGTGCCGCATTCGACACGAAAGTTACAATAAAAGCTGATGCATCGGTATTTATGACAGGTGACTTTACGGACGGCGGAATCACGCGAACTATTTCTCAAACATTTGGTGGGGGCTCCGGGTTCTACACCACGCTCGAAGGTGTCGTTCGCGTTACCGCTCCATGGATGTTTATGGCGGAAGCCAAGGGCGAATTCAGCTATCGTATTTATCACGATGGTGACGTTGGCTTTGAGATTGGAATGGACGATGGTAAACCGCACATCAAGGTTCACGATCCCAAAGTCAAAGCTGAACCTCTGGGCGCGTTCTCTGCGTCGGCGAGCTTCAAGACTGGCTTCGTGTTTGAGATTGTAGACATGAAACTTCAGTTCTGCTACGACACCAAGGTGTGCGCTGGTCCTCAGATCAACGTCGAACAACCGATCTACCTCGGTGCTGACGCGTTCGTCGCAGCATCTGCAGCGAACACGAAGTGCTTTGCTGGTGGTACTGAGCTCACGGCGGTGTTTGCTGACACCTTCGATGGCTATGAAGATGATTCAAACTGCAAACTTAAATCAGGAGGTGCAGTCGCCGGAGTTGGTGGCTACGTCGAACTCCCATACCCGAGCATCAATATCGTCCTTCAAACTGTGATTGACGGTAACGACCAGTGCGTGCCGGACTACGAACTCTATGACAGACCAACTTCAGGTTCCGTCATCAAAGACGTTGGCGGCAAGGACTATTTCCAAACGTGCACAAGCTCAGGATCAGGTTCCTTTATAAATGAAGACGACTGCGGGTGCCCAGTTGAGGGCACTTGCTAACGTTTGCTAACGTGTCGTACGTGTATCAGTACTGTGGCACGTATCGTGTAATGATAAGCGACCAATTTTGTCCCGTTGGTATTTTATTGCGTTCGATTTCACAAGTCTCTTGCGCTCAATGACGCCAAAATATCTCGCTCTAATTTTTCTCCTGTGCGCTTTCTGTGCGCAGCGTTGTCAATGATTATGTTCTTGACGTTGGCAACTGCAGACTTTGCATCCAAGACTTTCGCGTCGAGGCGCCGACGATCCTCACGTTTTGCTTTCACAAATTCGTGCACTCGCAATTTGGCGTCTGCGACAAAAGTCGAAGCGGGAGACATGTCATCGAGATGGTTGTCAAGCCGATTTACGGCGTCATCACGTCTTGACTCTAGTGAAACGTAGAGCATTTCGATTTTTTGATGGAGAGAAGAAGTTCTCTCATCCAAATCGCGAAGCTCCTCGAGCATGTGCGCCCCAGCAAGATTTCGAGAGACGAGTAGGTCGTGATAAACCTCATCTCTGTCAAAGGCACTTTTTTCGAGAAGATTAAATTCTGCGACTCGACGTGCAGAGTTCGAACGACTCCTAAACTCCTCCACGACCGACATAACCTCGATTGTCGACGGTGTCGACGCCATCGCAACAGCAGCTCGAGTCGCAATCTTCGTCACTAAACTAGCGCACAGCTCATCAAACTTCGAGAAATCGTCCATCATCTCGATTCTATGTGTTTGCATGCGTCTAAGTAGAGCCAGCGCATTAACCTCGTCCTTACCCGGCGTTTCTACGAAATGAACAACGCCATCGGGACCGAAAGTTACCTGGCGGATGTGAGCATCGAGATAGTCGATGGCGTGTTGGCGGTACGCTTCCTTCGACACCTTCGCTTCGCACCCGAATCTATTATGCTCGCAATTGGCTTCGGACATTGGACATTGTTCTCGCACGTGTAAATCGCGGTGTTCGTTTGGCATCACGCGCCCACATCGATGGCATTGAAAATCTCTGCTTTCGCACTTCAATTTGTGCGCCCCCATTCGTCGTAGGCTCACCTCATGACCGCAGTACTCGCACGGACGCATTTGGTACTGACACGAGATCTTATGTTCGCCAATTCTCTCACGAGGGACGATTTCCATGCAGATATCTCGAGTTTCGGAATCCTCTAAACGGCACATCACTGGGTGCGCCAGGCACTCTGTCGCCACGTGTGCATCCACCATACCCCTCTTGCCTCGCCACTTGCACCGTCTGTACGGGCAGAACACTTCGATGGCTCCGCAGACGAGAGAATGCGCACGAAACTTCCTTACCTGAATGCCGCACCCGCAATCATTGCAGTTCTGAATCCGGAAATGACACTTTGCTCTGTGCGCCTCCACCGCTCCGCGAGGAAACACGTCATGACATTTCTCCGCCCTGTTCGAGCTCTGTGTTGGTAATCCGCAACGCACGAGCGCCCGTGCACACGTCTCCTCGTGCGATCGAATCTGAGCTAATCTATGCACCTCCCGACACCCGTCTGAGACGATCTTCCAGTCCAGCGCCACGCCGTTTCTTCCATTGACGTGCGCCACCACTGAGTGACAACACATCACTGCCATGTCATCGATCTTCATCTGTGTCTGAACATCGACACCAAATAACGCCGCTCGATCAGAACCCTCTTTCCATCGTCCACACGGTCCGCAAAACAATCGTCCCTCCGCGTTCTTCATAGGCTCCGCCGCGACATCGTCGCACCTCTGGCATCGAGTCCCCAACTCTGGCGGCGTCAACAATACGGTCCCTGCTCGTCGCGACGTCGTCAGCGACGCACTCACGTACGCCTGCTGTTCATTCATCACGAAAGACTTCTCCGCGGTTCCCACGTTCGCGGCGTTCATCGCCTCTGCTCTGCGCATCGCGCTCATCACTTCGTCCACCGTCGCGGGCGGCAGGTGCAGCGGCTGCATCGCGCACCGTTCGTCTCGTTCGCCCTCCGAGGACTCGCTCTCCGTGTCGCTGTGCTCGTCATTCACCGCCTGCGCCTGCGCGCCGCGTGCGCACCGCTTTTCGACGTCCTCGGCCAGGAGCACGCCCGCGGAGGCGCCGACGAGCTGTTGAACAAACTTCTGCGTCGTGACTTTTTCGCGTTCGTTGACGCCCGCGCCCGTCGCGCACAGATCGTCCACCGCGTCCACGCGCGCGTCGTCATCGTCAGGCGCGGGGCGAGGCGCGCGCGCGCCTCGCCCACGCGGTGCGGGCGCCATGACGACGCGCTCTGAGGAGGCACCGTCGCGCGCGACGGTTGAAGGCGCGGAGAAAGTCAGGGCGCGTCAACATAGGAAGCTCATCGGGTCGATGCGGTAGTGTACACGTTCCAGGTGGACGATTATTAAAATCCACAGTCATGCTCATCGCCCAGAACTACGCCGAAGTGGTCGTTATCGGCGCGAGCGTCGGTGTCCCGAAGACGCTCTCGGCGCAGAAATGCAGAGCGCGCCTCCGCGCCGGACAACTCTTTCGAAGAGAGTTCACTCCGGTCCCTCTTAGCTAGCTTTTCGAAACAATAAAACATAACCTTGGGCGTGGATTTTTTCTCGACGACGCGTAGGCCGCAGGCGCGACAGAGCCGAATCAGTTTATCGCTTGTCATGCGCGCGGACGCGTTCACGCAGCGCGCCGGGAGCATCAAGAAGAACGACCCGCCGGTTCTTAGAAGCCTCGACGTGCGGTGCAACATCTCCCCTCGCAGTTCCGCCGTGGGAACGCAGTTAAGTACCATGCTCGAGTGCACGACGTCGTACGTCTCATCCTCGACCGGGAGCTTAAAAAAGTCAATCTGCTCAATTTTTGGATGTCGACTCTTCACGTCGATCGCCCTAACGTCCAAAAACTTGGCGCTCATCAAATCCGTGTTTATCGCCCCCACCTCCAGCGTCTTCAATGGTCTCTCACCTCGTTTCGGACGTCGTCCCAGTTTCGTGAGCACGCTGAAAGTAAACTTTGCCGTTCGATGTCTCGTCGTCGTCAGAGCGCTCGCCCGCTGGTACTCGTCCCGAAGCGCGTCCACCCCGCCCGCCCTCATCGCTCGCTCTCGCGCCGCCGCTCTCTCCTCCGACGTCGACCGCGGATCGTCCAGCGTTCGCGTCACCTCGTGGAACGCGCTCGTGACCTCTCGCGCTCGGCGCATCGATCGCATCGACGTCGGCGCGAAGAGCGGCTTTGACGTCGGGCGGCGTTTCTGCTTCATCCTCGCGCGCGCACGCCGCGCGCGCGAGATCACGCCGGGCGCATCGACGACACGGACCCCGATGAGGAACGGAGCGCGATCGCGGGATGTCCCTCGAACGCGCCGATGTGTGGGTGGCGAGGTTGGAGCCGCGGGGACGTGACGCGCCGGCGCGGTCGGCGCACAGAGCAGAACCCGGACGAACGACATCGCGAGCGCACGTGACGAGAGACGCGTGTGGTTTATCGTTTACAGGCTAATAAAATATTTCGCCGTCGCAGTCGTGATACGTCGGGAGGGAATGGTCTTTGGAGAACGCGTCGCCGTCGAGGCAGTACCTGTACGGACGCCGCGTCGAGATGTATGGCTTGACGTAGAGCGCGCGTTCGGGTTGCACGATGAACTTGAAGTGACTCACGGCGACGGTGATCGTGGGACAAACGACAATGCCGTCGATTTTTGTGAGATCACCGTTATCCATGACGGCGCACTGTCTGACGGCGCACATCAGGTCGGTTGGCAACCTGGCGACGCTCTCGTCAGGTTCGCACAACGCAGAGGTGAAGTTGCGCCACCACGTCGCGTCGACGAGTCCATCATCGACGAGACCGCTCAGTTGAGGCATGACATTTTGCGACGGGTCGCTGATGGGGACTTCGACGCCAACACGAGGGCCGATGATGGACGAGTCACTCTCCTTCGCCACGCGATCGAGGACGTCCACATGAAGCACGCATCCAACCCAGCCATCTTGCGGTAAATAGTTGTGTATTCGATCGAGCTCGCTGAAGTCACCGCTCCATTTCAACATCTTCAGAAGCCGCACTATCTGACGCATTTTCCCGCTCCTGTACCCGTCTTCGTCCTCCCGCGCAACTTTTTGGGGCACGTGTTGTAAAATGCGAATGAGCACGCGAACGCCGTCGATGGTCCCGCTCGCAGCCTTTTCCGATCGACTGAACATGATTCCGGCCGCCCACATGTGTGTGCTGAACCCCTCGCCCTTTGCAGCGTCGATAACCGCCTGCACGTTCTCATACAGCCTCTCCGACGCTGTCTCTCCGATCGCTTCTAAATACTCCCGTAGCGCCGGCACATATTCCGCGTGTCTCCCGTCCTCCTGAGGCGTGTGCTCGATGAACACACTCGCCGTAGGATTGACCTCGTTCACATCCATATCGAACTCCAGGTACTCGCCCAACCAATACGGATGCCTCCCGTCTTCGTACCGCTCGCTCAATCGTCGCCACCATTTTCGATGTCGCTCGAACGCCGTCGACCGCTCTAATCCCAAACACCACGCCTTCCCACCGTCCCGCCCCGACCGCGGATCACACGTCACCCCTAATCGTTCCAGCATCCCTGTCTTCGCCATCGCGTAATACTCCAACCGAACGCTCACGTCCACCGACTCCACGTTTGGCAACGAGTTGAACTCGTGCAAGACGCATCCGTTCACGCTCGCGTCCGCCAAGCTCCCGTCCAGAGACGCGAGGAACCGTTCCGCCCCCTCCCACGCCTCGATCGGCGCCGCATCACCCACCAACCGTCGCGCGTGCGCGTTGTACTCGAGCAAAGAGTCCGTCGTTTCACCGGTTCGCCACGAGGCTCTCCACGTCCCCGACATCGTCGTCGCGTCCCGCGTCGTCGCCGCGACGCCGAGGACGCCGAGGACGCCGAGGACGCCGAGGACGCCGAGGACGCCGCCGAGGACGCCGACGCGCCCGCGCGCCGCCTCGCGCATCTCGCGCGCCGCGGTCCGACGCGCGTAACACCCTCTGATGCACGACACAGCGTCACATCGACGCGCGCGAACGCGTCAGTGAGCTCGACGGAAAGAACACGTCGCCATGGGGAGTGCGTACATCGCGCCCGCGTTCGTCGTCGCGCGTTCGTTGAAGTCGTCGTCGTCGTCGTCGTGGCGATGCGAATCGTGTCCCGAATTGTGTTGAGAATTGAATTGATCATGATCTGATCAGTTTCATCAGTGTCGACGACGAAATCAAAGCGCGGTCGACGACAATTCTCGACGATGCGAAGGATCGCGCGCGATGATGCGCCGCCGGGACTGACGATGGCGCGTTTCCTTTCGTTCCGCTCGCAGTTTGTTCGTCGCAGCCCGAGCCCGAGATGCGGGCGGATTTCGGGTCGTGCCCGCAAGATGCCGACGGCCGCGCCGTGTGGGAACTCGCGAACGCGATCGCGTGCGCGAACACGCAGGAAATTTTGAAGAGGATGGTGCTCAACGTGCCGAGGCTGAGTAACCAGAGGGGCATGCTGAGGGAGGATTACATTGAGCGCGTGATCGTCGAGGCGTATAATCACGCCGGGTACGGCGATTTGAAATCCGACGTCAAGGAGAAAACGGAGGGTGACTTGCAGGACTTCATGATGGCGCTCTTATCGGATCGTTTGGATTTCCAAGCGCAGGCGCTGATGCGCGCGATCAAGGGTTTCGGTACAGATGAGGCGACGCTGACGACGATTTTGTGCACGACTGCGGAGGAAGACATCTTACCGCTTCAAATGGCATTTTCTTCGCGATACGAGCGATCTCTCGAACAGGCCGTCATTTCTGAAACGAGTGGAAAATTCAAGCGCGTGCTTCTTCTCGCTGGTTGCGACGGCGTTGGCGAGTCCTATGCGAAGGTGATTAACTCCGCTGTCTCAGGTTTGGGAACCGACACCAGCGCGATAATCCGTCTCATGGTGACAGCCACGCCGGAACAACTCGATGCCACGCGTGAGGCGTACTCAAGAATTTATAAGAAAGATCTCATCAAAGCCGTAGGTAGTGAGTGGAAGGTGAGCGGCGACTTCAAACGCATCATCACTGCCCTGGCCAAGCGCCACCCGACGAACGTCAACAACGATAAGGAGATCGATTACGACTTCGAAATCCAGTCCATGCGTAACGCCGTCGAGGGATTGGGCACAGATGAACAGCTTATCATTTCCATCCTTGCCAACAAAACGCACGAACAGATCGAAGAATTCCGCGAGGCGTACAAGGTGGCTACTGGCGAGCTCCTGCGTGAGCGTATCCGAGATGAAACCACTGGCTTGTTTGAGAGTAAGCTTTTCCGCGAGACCTTGATGGGTTTGCTCACGCCCCGCGAAGAACAAATCGCCATTTATCTCCAAGAAGCTTTCGGCATGTGGGCGAACGACGATTGGGGTCTCATTTCCATGCTCGTACATCGAACTGAAGAGGAGAAGGAGCTCATTAGGACGAAGTACACGGAACACACTGGTGGCGACCTTATCGCCGACATTCGATCGAAGTGCTCGGGTGACTATGAAGACGCACTCGTGGCCTGCATATCTCCGAAGGAGCGTACGATTGCTCGCGGTATGCGTCAATGCATCGCCGGCTGGTTCTCCAGCACGAACAAGACCGGTATCATGGCTCTGTTGACTCACAAGGACATGGTGATGCCCCGTCTTCGCAAAGAGTTCGAGAAGGAATTCCGCGGCCAAACGCTCCAAAACTGCATTAAAAAAGAGTGTGCTGGTGAATTCGAGGCTGCTCTTGTCTCACTAGCCGCCTACACCCCACCGAAAGGCGTGAGCAAGTTGGGACCTGACGAGCCTGTCCCACCGCCTAAGGGCGGAAGCCAACCAGCGTCGATGCAACAGTCCTACGCTCCGCCGCCGCAAGGTTACGCTCCGCCGCCGCAAGGTTACGCTCCGCCGCCGCAAGGTAACGCTCCGCCGCCGCAAGGTTACGCTCCGCCGCCGCAAGGCTACGCCCCACAGCCAACCGCGGGCTATCCGGGCGGCGGCTACGGAGCTCCACCGGTTCAACGCCAAGACTCGTGGTAATCGACCGCGTCTCTTCTCTTACGAATACACAAACTCCTCGTCGCGTGGTCGTCCATGCGAGCGTGCCGTGTTCTTAATACTGCCCTTAATAATACTATCTTTAATACACCAGTGCCGATCCCGTTCTCCCGCGCGCGTCGAGCCCGCGTGGGCACCTGCCAGATCCACGCCGCGCACCACCGCCGCACTCGCCGCCGCCGTCATCCATGCCTCGACGGCGAAGAAGCGGGTTCGGTGCGACGTCCGCGTTCGTCGCGGCGACGCTCCTGGCGACGACGCGCGCGAGCGCTGAAGGTCTCCCGCGCGCGCGAATTCAGAAGAAGTCGATTCGGACGCACAAAGAGTTCATCTCTCGCCTCGACGCCGAAATCTCGCGATGGAGCTCGAGATTCGGACGAGAGACGCGCGTGAAGGGTTCGCTCGAGGAGACGAGGCGCACGAGCGCCCCCGACGCCTCGAACGAGGGGGAGGTATCCGGACACGCGGCTGACTTGGCGAATTACATGGACGCGCAGTATTACGGCGACGTGGAGATCGGGACGCCGAGGCAAAAGTTTCGCGTCGTGTTCGACACTGGGAGCTCAAATCTGTGGGTACCGAGCTCGAAGTGCGGGTTTCTGCAGGTACCGTGCGATTTACACGCCAAATTTGATTCGGCGGCGAGCGAGACGTACGAAGCCGACGGGACGCCGTTCGCGATTCAGTACGGAAGCGGATCGCTGAGTGGATTCTTGTCCCAGGACGACGTCACTGTGGGCGATATAACGGTCAAGGGACAGTATTTCGCCGAGGCGACGAAGGAACCCGGAATCGCCTTCTTATTCGCCAAGTTTGATGGGATCCTTGGACTCGGCTTTGACACCATCTCCGTGGACAAAGTCAAGCCCGTGTTCTACAACATGATGGAGCAGAAGCTCATCGATAAGAACATGTTTAGCTTTTGGCTGAACAGAACTTCAAACGTGGACGGTACGCCGAGCGTCACTGGCGGTGAGCTCGTGTTCGGAGGATCAGATCCGAAGCATTTTGTTGGTGAGCACACGTACGCCCCCGTCACACGCGCGGGATACTGGCAGATCAAGATGGACGATTTTAAGGTTGCTGGAAGATCTTTGGGCGTGTGCAAGGGTGAGAACGGATGTCAAGTCATCGCTGACACCGGGACTTCGCTTCTCACCGGTCCGGCGGATGTGGTGAAAAAGATAAATGACTACATCGGCGCTCACTCCATGTTAGGTGAGGAGTGCCGAATGTTGATCGATCAATATGCCGACGAGCTCGTGCGAGATCTTGAAACATACACGAGTGAGCAAATTTGTACCTCAATTGGTGCGTGTGATTCACCGGATACTTCATCTGAGGAAACAGAGTTCGTCACTCATCTTGCGATTGCTCGCAAGTTGCTCCAACGTGTGAGCGATGAACGCCATCGCGGTCGTCCTGGGCCGGGTCCGCATTCTGAAGATCATCATCACCACCATCGTCACTCTGGCCCGCATCGTGACCACCACCATCGTCACTCTGGCCCGCATCGTGACCACCACCATCGTCACTCTGGCCCGCATCGTGACCACCACCATCGCCACCCGCATCACAGTCCGCACGGGGAGCTTGGTGTTTCCTTCGAGGGAACGATTTCGTGCAAGGCGTGTACAACTGTCGTGAATTATGCACAGAATTTGCTGAGTGAAAACGCCACATCGCGTGTAATCGCTAGTGAGGTGAAGCGTGTGTGCGATATGATCCCGAGCTACGGCGGTACTGCCGCTGTGGACTGTGAAGACATCCCACACATGCCAAACGTTGAATTTGTCATCGGTGGCGTTTCGTTCAAGCTCACCCCGGAGCAGTACGTCTTGAAGATCTATCAAGACGGTGACCCTCAGTGCGTGAGTGGATTCATGGGTATGGACATCCCCCCGCCGGCCGGTCCGCTGTGGATCCTCGGTGACGTCTTCCTCGGCCCGTATCACACCGAGTTTGATTACGAAAACAAGCGCGTGGGTTTCGCCCGCGCCGCGTGATCAACCCCTCGTCTGTACGACCACTGTACGAACACCGCGTCGCTTTCTCTGGGCATCCATCTCGCGCACTCTTTTCAATACATGTTTCTTTTGTTTTCCATACGCTCCACCGCGCGCTTCGAGAGACTCGGCCCCCCACACGCTCGCGCGTCGTCACCGATGGTGGTCGAGACGCGTTCGCACGGCACGTCCGCTGACGTCCAACGCGTTCGCTCGCCCTCGATCGACGTCGTCGACGTCAGCGCGCGACCCAGCGCGTCGACCGCGTCCGAGGGCGCCACCTCGCTGTCCATCGACGTCAAGACCTGGCGCGCGGTCGGCGCGTGGACCTGGGGCGCCGGTGACGCCGGTGACGTCTGCGGCATCTGTCGCATCGCCTACGACGGATGCCCGCCGGACGCGAAGTTCCCCGGGGACGACTCACCGGTGGTCTGGGGACGGTGCGGACACGCGTTTCACCTCCAGTGCATCACGAAGTGGCTGAGCGGGAACGCGCAGGACGCGCCGCGGTGCCCGATATGCCGCGGAGCGTGGGAGTTCAAAGAATTAGAAGGCACGGGAGCTGGATGACGGGACGGGACCGCGCGGACGCGCGCCGGGCGCAGAAACGCTCGCCGCCGCCGCGGCGCGGGTAGCTCATCCGAGGCGCGCCGACCGACGCCGGCGCGACGACCGCCCCGACGCGCGTTCGAGCGTCTCGATGGTTCACGCGTCCATCGCCCTCGCGCGCGAGACGCGCTTCGCGGTCGGTTCGCCCGCTCGAGTCCCGTCCGCGCCGCCCGCGCGCCGCCCGCGCGCCGCCCGCCCGGCGCGGCGTCGATTCGGGACGCCGTCGCGACCCCGACGCGGGACTCGACGCGTTGGCCCACGCGCTTTCCGACCCGTCCGAGTGCACGCCTCCGGCGTCGCGACCGCGCGGACGTCGCTCCGGCCCGTCCCGTGGACGAGGTCGTCGCCTCGGGACTCGGACGGGCGCATCGGCGCGAGCGAAACGGCGACTGTTGCGTCGGTATCGGAAATTCTGTAGACACTCATAAGACTGTTCGCCCACACGAATGAATGACCCGACGCGCGTCGAGATCCGCGTCGCCCAACATCGTCGCCAACACCATCGCGGACGATCAAAATCAATCCTCGCGCGCGCGTCGTCGCGCCGACGCGCCATCGGTCGACGCGCGTCGCGAACGCGCGTGGAAACGAACGCGCCCGGGGGCGATCGGTCGCCGTCGACGGACGCGACGCGATCGTCGCGGTTCAGGGACGAGCATCGCTCGATCGCATCGCGCGCGCGCACGGGCGAGAGTTCGTGATCTGCGCGTCGACGGGAGCGAGACCGAGCGCGTGAGACGGACGAGGCGCGTCGAGTGCATCGTCTGTAGCGCGGCGTCCCGACGCGACGGTCGTGGGCGGTCGGTGGCGATCGAGGGTTCGTCGCCCGCGTTCGGGGTGACGGGCGCGCGACGCGCCTCGGCGTCGGCCGACGCGCGAGACGGGTGTGAACTCTACATCTGGACGCATGCGCGCGCACCGACGAGGGCACGAGTCGAAAATGGTGACGTTGTTTCGTTTGGCGACGTTGCTTTCGCTGTGTGTTCTACCGTTCGCTGAGACCGCGGTGGGTGAATCGCGGGCGCCGGAGTCCTTCGCGACGGAGACGCCGGTGGAGACGGCGGCCGCGGTCTCAGCGATTCGCGTCGACAAAGATGGAATTTTGTGGAGAGAGATCTCGAAAGCGCGACATCTTGAAAATTCTCGCGATGATTCCATCTGGGGTTCAACCAAGGTGTACAGAGCGAACGACGCGAACGGTTCACCGATGTTTGAAGTGGTGTACCCGGAAGTAAATATAACTTTAAACCAATCTTCGGCTCAGAAAATACCGACGAAAGAAGAAGAACATCGCTATCTCTCTGAGCACTACGTGGAGTTCCAAAAGTCGTCACAGTCGCTACACGCCGAACGGTCCGGTGAACTCTCGCCGAGTCTCGGGATGAACGAAACCGATGGAAACGCGACGGCAGAGCTCGGAGGCTCCTGCGGATACCCAACTTCATACTGTCGGGTTTCGTATTTGTCGAATTGCCCTTCCCGTTACGCGTGTTGGCAAGGCGATCGTCCGAAGTATCGTACTTATGACTGTCACGGTCGGATCGAGTCCTTCCAGCATAGGTTCACTACTCGCCACTGTTGTGGACGTAACATTTGGGGGAGTTGTACGAGACATTGCACAAAGTGGCACTCAATTACCCTGTTCAAATGGAATAGTTGCAGCTATAAGGCATGGAGTTCGTACCACCACACGTGTCCCAACGATGTCGGACGTTGTCCTCTTATTTTTGACGTCAAAATCAATAACCCAGTCAAAGACGTCGCGTCCAACGCCGTTGACTTCGGTTTCGAAGTGATTCAACAGCAATTGTGCGGCGGAAACTGTCTGACGTCGACGAGGGGCACGAGAAGAATGGTACGAATATCAGTGACAGTGCGCAAAGTCGGACACGCTTGCTCCTCGTACGGGGATCATCTCCCGTGTAAACGATGGGATAACTTTCACGATCCTTACTTTGGCGGAAAGTTGCTCGGCTTGACTAATTCTCAAGGATCGGTCGACGTGGGACAGTACGAGATTGCGTATAACGTCCTGCATGGGTTGCCTGGTCAAGTGACACACGAGGGCGTGACAGGGAAGCACACATTCTCTACCACGCGCGGCTGCGACGGCATCATGCCTTCCAGCTCGATCGGGCATCAAACGGTGGAAAACTCCGAGTTAATAAAGTTCATATTGCTCTCAACCGATAAATTTGTCAACACACCGTGTGAGAAAATCAGCGAAGTCAAGGAATCAATCTTTCGTGAAATCGACGTCAACGTCACGGATGGTGTGCTCACTTACGATGAAATCGCACGAGCAGTGCGCAAAAATGGTGGAGATTCATACGTCTTAAAGGTGTGGAATCACACGCGAGAGCTACGAGTATCCATCGGGCAGTTCATGAAGACGTCGGTGATTCCGCACGCGTGTGCATCGGCGTATCGAGCTGGTCAACAGGTGACGTTTAGTAGCACGGTGTACCCAAGTATCGATCCGGGACGGATGACGACGAATAAACAGTGTGCGGATGACGCAAAGAAAATGTCACTGGCATGGAAATACAGCGCAACAGTTCCAAAGCAAGGCGACATAGTTTGTGTCTTTGTCGATGGTCTTCTTTTCAACAGAAACGAGCCATCGCTGTCAAAGCCAACAGTCAACGCAGACGATTACGCTCAAGGATCGAACAACTTATGGATGTTGACGAAAATGACAGATCGGCGACCCGTGATAGGGGGTATGAAAGAGACCTTGCCATCGCTCGTGGCGCAGTTTACGTTTGACTCGTCGCTGTTTTATGGTGACACTGTTGGCAAAACACGAGTCGACTCAGCTGCGCCGCTCGCTGACGGTCAAACATTCAGACCAAGTTTGCAATCCAAGGTAGGCCGTGATGAGGAATTGAAAGGCTTTCGCGACCGGGATTACCGAGGAGCTCAAAGTAAAACTCGGAGTGGTCGCACATGCCAAAACTGGGACACTCAGAGCCCCCACAAGCACACGAACAAAAGAAGCTCCGACGCTGGAACGGTTTCGAACAACTATTGCCGAAACCCCGACGATGGCTCCACCATTTGGTGCTACACCACTGATCCAGCTACAAGGTGGGAGTACTGTGACCCCGTGCCGATCGTACCTCAACCAGTTCCTGTTCCCAAGGCGTGCTCGGGTGCGAGTGGCGGAAAGTGCTTTCAGCCAGGGTCCACGCTCGTTTACAAAGGTGAACCGTTTCAAGACTCCGTCGCGTTTTCGACGTGGGTTCGATGCAGTAAAGGCAAGTATACGACCATCGTTGAATTCAGTGGAAAAGACGGGCGAGGTTCGCAATCTCTCTCTTTGAGTCTGGACGCCACTTGCGGACTGAAAATCGAGCACAGAAGATCTGGTGAACCACCGAAACATATAGCGCTGCAAGTTTCCCCGAGCACTTGGACACTCGTTGGTTTCACTCTTAGTCACACGAATGGCATGACTTTGTTCGCCTTGCCGATAGACTCCACTTCTGTCGTTCGAATAAATGACGCGCAGTGGCCGAAGGATACCCTCACGAAGATGCCTGATATCGATCTGCTTGCTGGTCAATCAACAAGTGAATTTGATGACATCCGTTTTTACACTGGCATCATGGATTTGAGTATCTTTACTGACTCAAGAGAGTGCGGCCGCGCGAGGTACTGCGCGGACCGTGCGCACGCAACGCCATCTCATCGCCGAGTCGTGTGCGTCACGGCGAATATAAAGGGATTGGAGACTCAAGAGCCTGTGTGTACGTCGGCGCTGTATTACGACGGCACCGCCATCGATATTCAGGCGTCGATGGATATGGCTGGGGTCGTCTTCGCGTTTCGCGACACAAACTGGCAGGAAAGCTCATTCGAGATCGAACGTCGATCACCTTCGCTCGACGGCGCTAGCTCCTTCGACACGGTTGTCCTCGTCGAAGGCGACCTGAAGGGTTGCGCGGCAAAGTTTAGTTCAATTACATATATGGATCGCGACGCATCGTACACACCATATAAGGAGTGGCTCTATCGCATCACGACGAAAAACCCAAGCAACGCAGCTTCACCGTTCCTCGTGTCGTCACAGATTCTCTTCCGCACACCGTGGAAGTCCTTACTCGAGGGGCGCGTGCTGGCTGGAGCGTCCACGACGGGCGTTCGAAACGTTCGGTTGTGTGCGGAGTTCGACACATTCATCTCTCACCAACGACAGAGTGACACGTTCGTGGACCGCAACACGACGACGATCAATCTCGCGGCGTACAAGAGTACGAAGCATTCGAACGGTGAGAAGACGTCGACAGCTTATGTCGCAACCGATGGTCTTGAGGACGGTGAAGTCGTTGGGATGGATATCGACGAGTACATTCGCGTGAATCTCGGTACCTGGAGCTCGGTGTCCACTGTGGCCGTCTGTTACAAGAATACCTCATCTAAGTTGCCAATGTTTACGACGTACGTGCAGGATCACGATCCAGAGGACTCATCGGTCTACGGTCACGAATGCTTGATGACGCACGCACGCGCTTCGTTTGATAATCCAAAAGAATATGCTTGCCTGAGTTACTCATGCAGAGGCACTGGTGTCAATTCGTTTCACGGTCAGCACATCACCGTCGTGTCTCTGAATCGAACTGAAGTCTCAGAGATTCAGGCGAACGGTCTTAACACAAAGTGTAAGTTCACGGCGATGACGGGTGACGACGGTGAATTCGAAATGCAACTCGAGGATACGTCCGGGAAAGTACCAGTGAAGGCTCGATTACACGTCGGTGCGTACAAGGAAGAAATCTTCCCCGAAACAACAGAGACGTTGATCGATACGAAGAAGGATGCTCACGGTAACTATACGGTTCCAAGAAGCCAGGCACACGAAGTGCTGCTGATTCTCCGCGAGAGGAGCGTCTCATCACAAGACGATTCGCCAACAGAAGGTAACTCGTCGGACGCCGCCTTTCTTGGGGATTGGGATTACTCAGACGTGGATTTCGAAGATGGCAACGATGAATCTTCATTCATCGGAGAGAAGCCCGTGCATGGGAGAAGTCTACTTGGTTCTTTGAGACGCGACTGCAGCTACAGCTGGGGCAGCTGGAGTACATGTACAAAACATCATTACTCCAGCGGTCGATGGACGGGCATCAGATATCGGACCTTTTACATCTGGCGATATCCAGATCCATACGGGTTCGGTACGCGATGTCCGAGCGGCTATACTAACAGACGTAGATATAGTGGGTCTTGTACCCCAGATGTTGATTGTCAAGGCTCCTGGAGTGGCTGGTCAACTTGCAGCAGGTCGTGTGGCTGGGGACAGCAGACCAGAGTATACAGAATCACGACGAATGCACAAGGTGGAGGAAGCCGTTGTCCCACAAACAATGGTTACCGGCAATCACAAAGCTGTCTCGTGAAACAGTGCCCACCGCCTCCATCTCCGCCTCCTCCTTCTCCACCGCCGGAAGCGGCGATTCTGAGTGAGAAAATTGAATGGACGTTACTCGATGGCCTTTCTTCGAGTGCCCAAGGGGAAGTGACTCGCGATAGGAGTGGCTCTGGTTGGAACGCCGGAGCTGTCAGCAAGCGCGCCATAAAAAGTGGATCGGACGTTGTTCGGGGCATCTCCGCCGTGATCGGTGATTCAATGATGAACGCGATGATTGCGCTGAATTCGCAGTCAACAGCGAAATCTACCGATTACCAGTCCCTAGATTTTGCTTTGTACGCCGACAGTGCAGGTTATTTAATCGTGTACGAAAAAGGCACGCAAAAGGAGCAGCTTGAGAAGTATGAGGCCGGCGATACGATTCAAGTCGTGCTGAATGACGATGGACAAGTCGAGTATTTCAAGAACCGTCTCAAGCTTCGTACGAGCACACAGACGGTGGAATATCCGCTACACGCGGACGTATCAATCCACAACACTGGCAAAACATTCAAGGATGTGCATTGGATGGAACGAATCTCTTCGCCGCCGCCGTCTCCACCGCCGCCGTCGCCGCCCCCGCCGTCGCCGCCCCCGCCGTCGCCGCCCCCGCCGTCGCCGCCCCCGCCGTCGCCGCCCCCGCCGTCACCGCCCCCGCCAAATCACGAACTTGAACAAGCGGACACAGATAATTCAGGCAACTTGACGCGAACTGAACTCATTGCTTTCATTGAGAAAATAACTATCTCGTCACGCGGCAACGCAATCATCGACGACGACGTGTGGAAAGTGCTTGATGTCGACGAAGACGGCTTCATCGATGCGGCGGAATTCCAAGTGATCGCCGACCGTATGGTTGCCCAGACTTTGGTCGTCGAACCCATGATCGTGTTTCCTATGCAAGATCTTAAGCACATGTACAACTTCACTCTGGTGCAAACATCGGACGACGTCGAGAACAATATCACGAGCGGCGCGACCGACGTCTCGGCTGCGACGCAGTCGTGCGAGAACTTGGTTCTCAGGCGAAGCTCAAGCGGCTCGTTGCCCTTCACGAATGAGGGATGGACGGCATTTTACTACAATTTCATCAAGGATCGACAGAGTAACTTCACGTGCCGTCCGTTGAACGCGAATGAAGTTCCAGTGATTGAGGTGGGCAGTGAAGATGGGCAGTACGGCATCCCCGTGCTCGCAAACAAAGTAAGCATGAATTATCTCGTTCTCGATGCGCACACGACGGCGAAACGCAAGTTACACGCTGATTTGGATATTTTCCATCGCTTGACCCGAGCGCAGCTGCACGTGCGTGTCAAGGCAAAGAAACGTCTTCCAGACATCATACACCGTTTCAATAAACCGGCGATGCCGAGACAGGCGAGAGAATCCCAGGAGTCGAGCGACGACATGGTCTTGTACGGCATCTTCTCTGACGAGGCAATTCTCGATCGAGTGACTGTGGAGGTGAAGCACAAGCGTGTGGAGGAAAAAGATTTCACGGACGATACGATGGCTATTGTCAACGGCGCGATCCTTTTCCCCAAAGACTTGGTCGAGCAATCTACGGATTGCGGTCTATCCAAGGCGACTATCCAGGTATTTGAGCCCGAGGGTGAAATTGAAGAGTACTTGACGGACGAACGAGGGTTCTTCAAAATTGCGGTCACGCGCGGGAAAACGTTCACGTTTCGAGCGAAATACAAGGGACATAGCATTTGCTACGCCGGCAACACGTTGGAGAGTGCTCTCGAGGACGTTCACACCTGTGCCGGGCGTCACAACTACACAAAACTGGAGAACGTGAACGACGGAAACTTTATTTTCTTCTCCGACACCACGAGAGGATCGATCGATCTCGGTCTCTACCACGGTGAATGCAGCGAGCGATACGGTGGAGCGACTTTCAAAATAACACCCATCAACGGCTGTCATGCGTCTACGTTCGTCACAAGTGAGCAGATTGCAGGCTGGAGTGTCGGGAGCGATGGAGATCCCGACGCAAAGGTATGGCCGTTCGCCGCTATGGACTACTCAGTGACACTCACGTCCGGTCCCGACATAAACGCCGTGCAGCAACTCATCGCCGATGAAGATTGGAAAGATTCTTGCGGAACGGAACCTGGGAACATTGTGAGCTTCTTTCGCAGTAGGAATGCACTTGAGCGAGTCGTCCCGATGCGTGATGAGTTCGCTGAGCTAGTGTCCATCCGGTACAAGTACCACGGGTTTATTTGTATCGAAATTCTGAACATACCCAAGATCCGGAACCCTCTGGAAGTCTGTTACGATCCAAACGAAGACGAAGGTAACATCACCAAGAAGCATTTTCTCGGGAAAACAACGTCAGAAGATTTGGGATCGATCGAGGAAGCAACGCCTATCGAGGCGAAAATTTTCGAACTCCACGTTGACGAAGTGGGTGGCAAATCGGTACTCTCAAAGTGCTTCAAGGCACTTCCAAATATGAAGGCAAATACGGGGAGTACCATGGTTAAGTTCAGACAATCCATCACGGATGAAGATTCTAACGAGTGTCACCCGAATCGCGGCGGTGGGCCAATGTGTGACTTCGATGCCACAATTGATCCCGAAAGCGAACTCTTGATATGGAATGAGCAAGGGAATACGAACGTAATGGTACGCGCCGGCAAGCCCTACTTGGGCGGGAACCATCGACGCGCCGTGGAAATCACTGTGAACCGTTACGATACATACAAGTCAGTCACAGCGTACGCCAAGCGGGAGCTCATTCCACTGGGCACGAGACCTCGATTCTTTGGAGGACTCAGTGATGACACTTACTGGGCGACAGTCCCAATTGAAGGTCTCGTGTACACCGTCGTACACGATCCGCCAGGAGGGAACTCGTACGCCGAGTTGACGACTGGTTCTCAAATCGGTTTGGAGTTCGACATCGCCAACTCCCGAGAGGCGTCTGAGGAGAAATCTAGTGAGATTGAGGACGACTTTCCCGAGTTGGATGAAAGCATGAACGTCGGTTTCAATGCCGGCTGGGTTGCAGAGGGCGCGTTAGACTACAAACTTAATTTGATCAAATCTAGTGGGCAGGTGAAGAGTGGGGGCGGCCCAAAAATGTCCATGAGTAGCTCAGAGAGAAAAGGCTGGAGCGTCGAAACGACGACGGACAGAGTTATTCGATCAAGCCAAGACGTCGCCACTCCGGGTCGAGACGGAGACGTCATCTTGGGTGGCGGGATCGAACTCGTCTACAAAATGTCTGATGTTTTGGACGTCGTGAACGACGTTCGAACATTGAAGAAGCCGTGTTTGTATGTATACGCTCAAATCACGTGGCAACCGCGGAGACCGACGTCGTACGTCATGACTGTGTATGCTATTGAGAACCAAGTCGTTCCAAATCTGCACTACCTGATCTCCGTCGTGCGCGAAGGCGGAGTTGCAGGGGATGGATCAAAAATGTTGTACGACTGTGGAGACTCCGGCAAGACGAGTAAAACCGACTGCACGAAGGATGAGCAAGTCGCAGCCTGGGACAAATACCTCACTGGTAAGATCGATGTGTGGCGTCGCACGCTGGAGTGGTCGTCGCCGAAAGTGTTCACGCTCAACAAGGGTGGCGAGTACACAAAGGCTTACGATGCCATCGAGGCAATCACGGCGCCGATGACCGAAGGTTTCCTGGGCGATTTATACAAAAGACAAGTACAATACTTTGAGGACGAATTCTTGAAGCCGATGAAAGACATTGTCGAAGATGTCGCGAGCGTGTGGGACTCCACGCACTACATGCAGCCGTTCAATGGGCTCGGCCCTCCGCCCAATTTCCCAGATCTTAAACTTGGCTTCGGAGGCGATTGGATGTTTGACAGTCGTTTTTGGGAAAGTGACGATGACGACGTCAGCATTTATGAGCGTCTCACCCAGCAAAATACTATGACGTATTCAGAGAAGCAAGCTACCAGGTCTGTCGCAGCAGGCGGGGCGAGGGCAGCCAAAGTAATACTCGCTGCAAAAGCTGCGCGTGAAAAGGCAGTAGAGGCCGCGAAGGAAAAGCAAAAAAAAGTCATGCAAAAGTGGCAACAGAAGCAGCAGAAGACATCAGCAGCAACGCTGAAGAAACTAGAAGATCTGAAAGATGCAAAGAAGAAAGCGAAGAAAGCGGCTAGAAAAGCCGCTGCGATAAAAATCGCCCTACTGTCCATCCAAGGAGTTATTGCCGCCGCGGGCGGTGCGTTAGACAAGTCTGGCTACAAGTACGTGGTGTATCCGCGCAAGTTCTACAAAGAAGGGATTCCATACTTTGAAGAGAATTTCTTCGACGACGATTACAATGTTCTCCAAGGCGGCGACCAAATTAAGGACGAAGACGGCATGCGACAGGAATACACATGGGGGCTGCTCGAAACCGCAACAAACGACATGTTGAGATCATTTCAAAGTTGTGGTGGACGCGAATGCAAACCAAATGAACTTTCCACAGATAAGCTGTCTCCCTCTGAGTCTCTTACTATCTTCGGAGAGGACGATAAACTCTTGACGGACAAGTACGAACCCACGGCGATGCAGAGAGTCGTCGCCTCGTTCACAGGTGCTCTTGCTCCCAGTGGTATGAAGGAAACGAGCAAGAAAGAAGGGAACGAAGCGATTCTGCTCTCATTTAGTGGTGGTGGGCATTCCGTGGACTACGCGTTCAAATCTGAAGAAAAAATCGCGGATATAGGTGTATCTCTTGGAGTCGGTTTCTCTGGCGAGGTATCGAACGACTACAAGCTCGAGCTTGGTGGTCTTATTGGTATGATCATGGAGATTACGATGATGGCGGCGGGGATCGATACAGAGGCCGAAATGACGTTCTCCAAGGATCTCTCGCAAGATCGTAGCTTCGCCTGGAATAGACACGCTTCCTTGACGACGATGTACAGCCTTGGCGACCCGGAGTATGGCGACAAGTTTGTCGTTCAAGTCGGGGAAGACAAGCGCTTCGGAACGCCCGTTTTCATCACCAAGGGCGGCCGGAGTATGTGTCCTGGCGAACCTCTCACGATTTTCCGCGAGGCTGGATGGTCGTTATCGTTGGCTACGACGTGGAACGAGAACCTAAATCCAAGCGAGAAAGCCATCTTGCGTCTTTCGGTGATCAACGCGTCTCCGTACAAAGAGAAGCCGAATTTGGGGTTGCGCATCATCGACGGTTTGTCCCAATCCGTACACACCGTCGTTGCGGCGGCGTACGAGGCGGCTGCACAAGACGGCGCGACAGGAACGCACGTCCTGAGTGCAGTCGACGATGCCATCAGCAAGTTAACCATAGGGAAAACAACAGCAGTCATTCAACGAATGAAGCGAGACGCTCGTGAAGCGGTCGAAGTACACAAAGCGTCCGCGGTGAGCACCGCGGCCGTCATCATCCAGGCATCGAAAGATGCCCCGCGAATGTACGAAGAAATTCAAGACATGCAACTCACCGTCGGTGGTAAGCCGTTCACACCGGGCGAAGTCATTCCAGTCACGTTCGTGGACGGTGAGTCGTTGAGCGTGCAAAAGAGGCAGCTCGAAACCGCCTTCACGCTCCACATATTGCCAACCAGTAGTGCGGTTCGACGACTCGATCACATCGCGTTGCAACTTGTGAGCTTGTGTGAACAAGAACTGTCGGAAAACAACAATTTCGCGCGCGACCCGGTGGGCGCGTCAATCTGGTTGCGTGAGATGAGCTGGAGCCAGGAGTGCCCAAAAGTTGCGTTCGATGGCACCACGATGGCTAACTATCGATTCTCGAGTGTCTCTCCGAACGAGCCGGATCCGCTCGAGCTGACGGTGTTCAATCCAAGTGGTTCACTGTTGTGGCCCGGATCTAGGGACGGCGATCCCAGCGTCAATCCTAATTTGAGATTCGTGCGCCTTCAGTATCGACCCGTGAGCGGAGGCGAGTGGATCACGGCCAAGTCTGAGGATAGCGATCCAAAGTTCAGTTACAAGAAGAATCTGCTCTGCGCCGGCTCCCGACTCGCCGGTTGCTCGTTCAAGTGGGACGTACACAACAAGTATGAGCTGCTCCTGAGCGGTTTTAAAGACGGAGTCTACGAACTACGCGTGAAGAACTTTTGTTTCGGTACGCCGGCGGCGCCCATCAGCGCCTTGGCTGACTCAACAGTTCATGAATACATCTCCGATGAGATACTCACTCTGAGAGTGGACACAAAACGACCAATTTATGTCCGTGCTCAATCAACGTTTGGCAGCTCATACGTCGTCGAGTTTGCCGAAGCTATCGATTGTTCCGATCAAAAGGTCAAAATAACCAAGAAGCGCACGGCGTGCGGGAGCGCGGGAGCCAGCGTGAATGAAGTTGTCAGTGAAGAAGCTATCAAGACTGATTTCACCTTCCAGTGTGCGACCGATGGATCGGGATCTTCCAAATGGATGATAGATTTCCCATCCAACCATGTGGGCGAGTACGAGGTGAGTGTTCATGGCGTTCGCGACGTGGCTGGAAACGCAGCGAAGCCATTCAATTTCGTCATGAACTCGCACTGCACTTCCACGCCTTCCCAGGTATCTCTCAACGAATCTCTTCTCGGCACCGACAAAACGTCGTTAAAGATTCACGACGAGGCTCACACGAGCACCCTTACCGCGCGGTTGGGTTCACGGGAAGCAGTTCTCAACCACTTGAGTGTTGAGCTTTTGTTCACGTTTTTCGCTGTCGTTGCACTCGTCGCCTTCGCGTTGAGGTCCGGCCACGCGAGGAAGATTCAAAAGGTACTCGATAAAACCGCCGATGACGCCTGCATCCAGCCGGAGGATAGACAGTCGTACGGTTCCACGGTATGACGTCTGTACACGGTGTAACGCGTCTACCGGTATGATGATAAATATAAATCATCGGAATGACAATATCTTCATTTCACTCGGGTCGCTCGACTCGATGCGCGAGAAACTCCGCTCTCGCCACATTTTTGAATAAGTTTCAGCGTTGCAAAATGTATTGAATAGTCCTCGTGCGTGTTGATTTGTTGAGGTGGTATTACATTGCCAACTTAACAGCTCGCGTTGTAATTTTCTCGCATTCCAAGCACTCACATGCGTCCACTGAGACTCGATGTCTGACCCTGCGCGATACATATATAGCCAAAAAACGCGAGTCTTTATAATACCGAGCGCCTGCCCACCTCCCACTCCGTCAGTCTCCTCAGTGTCCATGGCAACGCTGGACGCACGTGCAACTCGAAGGCTGAGCTGGAACGCGCCAAAGCGCGCGATACGCCGCGAAGGATGGAAGTTTTATGAATTGGAAGGAATGAGAGCGGGGCAATATGACACGGGGCGAACAGGACGCGAAAAAGGCGTAGGGGGTCGACGCGGACGCTTTGAGCGCCGTCCGTGGGAAGGCCAGAACACTTTAGCATATATCATTATACAGTACAACGAACTCTTCGAGCTTATGGACGTCTCGACGCCTTTAACTTTGAACGATTAGACTTCGCCAGTAAGATGCGAAACCAAGCTGCTCGTACATGATTATTTTACTCTTTGATGATGTGCTGCCCTATCGCGGCCCATGAAGTCGGGCCCGCGACGGGACGACCGATGGTGACTCGAGTCGCCGTTCGCTTACGGCGCCACGTGAGACCGTCTGAACCGACCTTTCGTGTAGTGATGGTGTGCTGTTGCTCTTTATGTCCCGTTGCACTCATTGCTGCGGGTTTTGGCAGCTCGTACCATATATCGTTCTCTTTCTTGGCCGACTTTGACCCCTTGGTGGGCGTTGGCATCGTTGGGTTCTTGCGCTTACCCGTCGTCGAGGGCACGCGAGTGCTCTTCGCCGCGGCCGCGGCTTCGGCATCGTTTTCAGCCTCCGAGCGATACCGTCGGGCGTCGTAAATACCATACCTACGATCTTCTACAACGCGGCCACCACTGGCGTCGGTACCATCTGTTTGTGTGACTGACTTTATTTTCTGTTTCGCCTTGGATTTGGTTGGCGCTGATCGACTCTCCTTTGCGTCCTGTTGCTCGTCGTCGAGCTCATCATCCTCATCGATCCCGAAGGCTTCCTCATCCGCGTCGAACGCAACCGCTTGCTGAGCTCGAGCTGCGGCGTTGTGTGCGTTAACCACCGCCTCATGAAATTCAGCGTCCACGGCCTCAAGAGCGAGACGCGCGTGCACTACGGCGGCGTTAGCCGCCTCTAACTTCTTTAGTTCTGTGAGCAAAACGTGCTCAATTTCATGCATCGGTGGCAATCCTGCCTCTGCGAGCACCGCGTTTGCCATGCGCGCGATGCGTTCCTCCTCGTCCAAGTCTTCGTCATCCTCGTCAATCTCTTCGTCGCTATCATCCGGATCCTCAACTTCACGGTCACTGTCGTCGTCTTGATCCGTCGCGTGCTCATCTTCGTCTCCAGTTACCCTTGGTCTCTTCTCGCTCGGTTTCTTTGCCGACGTCGCCCGCACGACAGCCGCGTGAGCCTCTGCGGCAGCCTCTGCGGCGCGTGCCACCTCTTCATCCTCCTCGTCGTCCGTCTCATGCTCGCCAAAGTGCAGGTACTTATCCCAATCCGTCTCGTCTTCGGGACCGGCACCCTCTTCAGCTTCGTAGTCATCCTTCCCGTGCTCGCCAACGAGGACTTCGTGCACGCGCGCGCGCGCCGAGGAGTACACCGCCTCCGCCTCCTCGACGACCGTTTTCATCCGCGCGAGCTCTCGCTCGGCGTTTTCCACCTCGTTCACCATACCCGCGCGTTTCTTTTTAAGCGTATCGAGTGATGCGTCCAACTCGGGGTCGTACTTGACAGCGACGTCCGTTTTCACGTCGCCGTCGTCATCGTCATCTTCAGCGTCATCATCTCGATGTCCACGTCCAAAGTTTGCCTTTAACATTTCTTTGGCGCTCATCGTCGACGCGGCACCGCCGGCGTTCCCGCCCTTCTTACTCAGCGCGTCTCGCGATACCTTTGTCGTCTTCTTTGAGCCTCCGGCGCCGATAGATTTCTTTCCAGCTTGCGCGCCTCCTTTACCGGCGACGCCACCCTTTGCGGTCGATTTCGCGCCCGACTTACTCGCGCTCCCGCCTCGCCCCGCGCTCCCGCCGACGTTCGCCCCGGACCCCGCCGATTTCCCACTCCCCGCTCTCGCGCGCACCGCCGCCTTATACGGCACCTTCGCCGCCTCATCCTTCCTCAAGTGTTGAAACTTGATCAAATTCCGCCACTTATCCTTCAACTGCACCCCGGTTCGCGATCTACGTCGTCGGCGTCCGTCCGTCAGTCCCGCGCGATGCCCACCCCTCCCCCGTCCCACACCACGCGCGCGTCATCGCTCGCGAGCCGCACCGCAACGCAATAAACTCCGGATCGTTCCGCATCTTCTCCCACGCCCCGATCCCGTGTTTCCGCACCGCCCGTTTCAGCGCCTGCTCCTCGTCGCCTCGCCAGTACCCGCGCGCCGGGGCGCCCCCATCCGCCGCCGTCGTCGTCGTCGTCCGCGCCTCCGTCGACGCGCGCGGTTTCCCAACCATCGTTCGCGTCCACGCACGCGCGCGCGGTCGATGCCGACGCCGACGCGGTGCGGACCCGTCGACGCCCACGCGCGGGACGACGCGCGAATTGGCGGCGCGTCACCCGCGTGGGGGGGCGGATGGATGCCAAGGGTCGTCCACCGGTCGTGACCCAGCACGTGATGCTCCTGGTCGTCCACCGGTCGTGACCCATCACGTGATGCTCCTGGTCGTCCACCGGTCGTGACCCAGCACGTGATGCTCCTGGTCGTCCACCGGTCGTGACCCGACATTTTAGCACCGATGCCGAGGACATACGGCGATGACGCGTCCAGTATGTCACCGGTCGACCTCGAGCGCGTCGCGACGACGCGGTTCGCGCGAGCTCGAACGGGGAAATCACGATCGATCGGTGATGCGCGTGATGCGAATCACGTAGTTTCGAGTGGTGATTCAAATCACGTAGTTTCGAGTGGTGATTCAAAAGGTGATTTGAATGTCACCCACCCGAGCGCGTGACGGTGTCTCGAAACCGTCCACGGGGTGTTCGTTGCACGCGTGTGATGGTGCGCGCGGCCCCGCGGTCGGTCGCCCCACGCGACGTCGACGACGACGACGACGACGTCGGCGTCGGCGTCGATCGGCGCGCGACCGATCGCGATGCTCCGCGCGAGCGCGCGCGCGGCGTCGCGCGCGGTCGTCGCCCTGAGCGTCACCGCGCTCGCGCAAGCGATGTCCCTGCAGTGGGCGTACGTGAGCGCGCCCGAGGCGGTTGGACCGCGTCGTGGGGTCGTGCGGTGCGCCCGGGACGTCGACCGCGTGGGCGAGGGCGTGGGCGAGGGCGCGCGGGTGAGCCCCGGGGGCGCGCGCGCGATGGGGGGTGGGCGGCGGCGCGTCGTCGTGCACGTCGCGGGCGACAGCACGGCGTGCGGCGTCGGGTGCGCGTCGAGCGCGGGGACGAGCGATGACGTCGCGCTCGACGCGCGGTCGGGGACGCTCTTGGACGCGCGGAGACGTGGGCCCACGCTCGCGCGGTCGTTCGCGATGGGGGTGGGGGAAAGTTTAGGGGCGGATGTGGAGTGGCGGGCGCTGGGATTTAAAGGCGCCGACGTGGCGGAGATGCGACGCACGCTCGTTCCGGCGTTACGACGAGCGATCGATGAAGACGCGGGGGTGCGTGGGCGCGATGCCGCGGCGTCGACGTCCTCGGCGGTTCCGCACGCGGTGGTTATAATGTGCGGGATTAACGACGCGAAGAGGTCGATTCTCGGTCGCACTTCGGCGGCGTTTCGAGAGGAACTGCAGGCGCTCGTGCGCGAGGTCCGCGAGGTCGTCGGTGAGGAGTGCGTGGTCGTTCTACCGGCCACGCCGCTCGAGGCGGCGACGTTGTTTCCTCCGCCCCTCGTTTGGGTCGCGACGCGCCTGAACGATTTGTGGGACGAGCAAAAGGCGCACGTCAGTCGACTCACAAAAAACGTTATATTCGTCTCCAAACCGAGCTTGGAGTCGATGCGAGAGCGCGCTTCCAAGGCCACGGGACGGGTGGCGCACTCGATATCGCTCGTTTGCGGAGACGGGGTGCACCCCAACGACGTCGGGTACGACGCGTGGGCGCGACACATCGCGGAGGAGTGCGCGCCGACGCTCCGTCGCGCGCTCGCGTCGCAGAGCGGCGGTGAGTGATTCTTTGACGAGCCGATAACTCAGACGCATGTATTATTCATTATTCAATCGCGCAATATTATTTCATCGCTAAGCCGAAGCCGCGGCGGCGTTTCGGGCGTTTTCGATAAACGCCTTCACCTTGGCCTCATCCTTGCGCACGCCGCCCTCGTCCGCGACGCCGCTCGCGACGTCCACGCCGTTTGGATGTAACTGATCGATCGCGGACGCGACGTTATCCGGAGTTAAGCCTCCGGCGAGAATCCAGCCCTTGCGTGAGCATCCGCGCGGCGGCTTCAAACCGGACCAATCAAAGGTTGTCCCGCTCCCCGCGTTTACGCCGTCGATGAGCACCCAGTCCACCACGCGTCGCGGTCCACTGACGAAATCGATCGCCGCTCTCCAACCCTGCGGTCCGCTCATCTTCTTCTGCCTCTCCGCAATCAACTTCTCCTCGTCTCCCGGCAGTTTGGTGACGATCTTCCCATCCGCGTCCGCGTTGAGCACCCAAATCGCCTTTATCCGCGACGGAAGCGTCTCCAGCGCCGCCCGCGCGCCGTCGCCGTGCAACTGCGCGTGATCGCATCCGATCGCATCACACATCGCCGTGATCTCTTCCGCGTTCTCATCGACGAACACCGCGATCGGGATCGCCCCGTGCGTCTTCGCCGCGTCCGCGATCGCCCGCGCGGCGTCTCTCGTCACCGACCGCGCGCTTCGCGGCCACGCGATCATGCCGATGAAATCCGCCCCGCTCGCGCACGCCCGCACGCAGTCTTCCACGGTGGTGATCCCGCACACCTTGACCACGGCGCGATCGCGATCGTCCGCGCGCGCCCGCGCGCGCGTCGCCGTCGACATCGTTCGTCCGCGTCGACGCCACCGCGTCCACCGCCGCGTCGACGCCACCGCGCCCGCGTCCGCGCTGGCGCGAACCACGTCGTCGTTCGCCCGCGCGCGCCCGGGGGTCCATCGCGCCATCGCGCGAGACATCGCTCGTGCGACGTCGCCCGTCGCGCACTCGCGATGTGACCGACGTCGATGGAATCGATGGATGGAATCATCACATCGCGACGACGACGACGACGACGTGGTTCGCGCGCGCGATGGCGGGGCGGGCGATCTCGCGCGCGCGCGTCCTCGTCGTCCCGCGCGCGTCGACGACGACGACGTGGTTCGCGCACGCGGGCGCGGTGGGAGAGCCGAGCGACGCGCGGGAGAGCGACGCGGCGCGCCGAGCGAGCGCGAGAGGGGCGACGACGCGGGCGGTGACGCGGGCGGTGGACGCGACGATGCCGTTCGCGCGACGGTGGGCGCTGGGGGCGATGCGGTACGCGGAAGAGACGTGGCGGGCGATGGGGGCGGCGGGGCGCGGGACGGCGCGACGGCGGATTTACGAGGCGGGGAACTACGCGATGGAACGGATAGATCCGCGAGAGCACGCGCTGAGAGCGTTGCCGTCGGTGACGTCGTCGATTGAGATTGTGTATCCGGGAGGTGGAACGATGAAAGCGAGCGAAGCTTTGGGGCTGGTGCGAGCGACGCTTCGCGACGGACGCGCGTCCGCGCGTAACGCGATGAGACTGTACAGCCTGGGCGTTCCGCTATCCATGCCGATGTTTCTCACCCCGCTGAGTAATTTTCCGCTATATTACTTTATCTACAGATTATGGGGCGCTTCGGAGGCGTCGGCGAACGCGACCGAGGCGCTGCGAGTGCTCGACGCCGGCGCCGCGGATGACGCGCGAGCGAACGAAACAGAGGCGCGGTTCTTCCGGATATCGCGCGGAGACGACGGCGATGGCTCGACGGTTGGTGAGTGCAAAAGACTGAGACCGATTAATTCGTTGAATTCGGACACGGGCGGGGAAGTATCGACGACGGATGAGCCGCACGCCTTGGCGTGCTGTAGACTCGCTCGTCCCGGCGGCGAGACGCTCCTCCGCGGCGACGCCGCGCCAGAGGTCTTATTCGTCCCGTGCGACGCCCTCGGCACCATAGCCGCCCGCTATCACGGTGGAGACATCGATGCGGACGCGTCTACATCTCCGTGCGCCGCCGCGGCTGTCGAACGTCTCTTCGGCGCCGCGGGCGTCGTCGAGCTCAGCCGAAAGCACCGCCGCTACGAAGAAATTTACGGCGCGACCGCGCGATAGGAATAGCACGCACCCATCGCATCATCGCCGACGCATCACGTCTTCCTCCCGACCGGCCCGATCCGTTCCCACGTCGCCTCGCGCGCGTCCGCGGACGTCCTCGCGACCGCGCCGCGCGCCGCGTCCACATCGGATTGGGCCAATCCAAAGCCACGTCATCACATCTTTCGCCCTCTCCCCCATTCCTCGCCGCGCGTCGAGCTCGCGTCATGTCCGCCCTCTCCGCCCGCGCGAACATCGCGCACGGTCGCCCGCGCGTCGCTCGCGGCGCGAACGCGCGCGCGACCCGAGCGTCGCGTCACGTCGTTCGCGCTGGAAGGTTTGAGACGGAGCGCACGTACATCATGATCAAGTGCGTGTGGTCACACATCGCGCGCGGGGGCGACGACGGCGACGCCGAGCGAGAGGACGAGTGATGCCGCGCGCGCGCGCGGAGGGGACGATCGAGACCGTCGATGACGCGGGAGAGAGGCGGGAGGGAAGGGGTCGGTCGAGGGCTAGGGCGGCGGCGGCGGCGGCGGCGGCGGACGCGCGAGGCGCGCGAGCGACGGAGAGGGAGATGGACGCGATGGATGACTGACGCGTGAGATACTTTTAACGAACGTGATAGGCCGGATGGTGTCCAACGGGGACACGTCGGGGAGATCATCTCGCGGTTCGAGAAGAAGGGGATGGTGCTCAAGGCGTTGAAGACGTACCAGTGCCCGAAGGCTGTGGCCGAGGAACACTACAAAGATCTCTCCTCCAAGCCGTTCTTCGGAGATTTGGTGAACTACATCTGCTCCGGTCCGGTCGTGGCGATGATCTGGGAGGGTCCGGGCGTGGTCAAGAGCGCGCGCTTGCTCATCGGCGCCACGAACCCGCTCGAGTCCGCCCCGGGGACGATTCGTGGTGATTTGGCCGTCGAGGTCGGACGTAACGTCATCCACGGATCGGACTCCGTCGAATCTGCCGAGCGTGAGATCGAGCTTTGGTTCGGCGACAAGGCTGGTGTCGTGGACTGGACCCCGACCATCACGCCGTGGGTCCGGGAATAAACCAACCGTCAGGCGTCCCGTTGAACGTTCTATTGAACGTGCAATTTGCAAATATGATCTTCGCGCCAATAACGCGTACGTCGATTCATTCATTCATCGAGCACGCGTCGAGCTTCGTTTCGTGAGATATTTCCTCGACGTGGACGGATCATCCGCGCTCTCGGTGTTGCCTCTCGCCGGGTTCCCTTTGACTTTGGTCAACCTCTTCGACAAACCCTCGCGCACGTCTCGCGCCACGACGCGCGATTCAACGCGCGCGAACGCACGAGAAGCTCAATGCTTCCGGCTTCGGACGTGCACGGCGCGTGCGTTCGCGTTAAGCGCGCGCTCCGTCGCGCTAAATTTCCTCTCAACGAACGGGGGACTCGAATCGACGCAGACGTGCGAAACGGCGCGGGGGAATTCTTCGTCGCCGCGCTTCGTCACGTCCTGTGCTCGCGCTCGAGCGTGTCGAGAGATATTGGCGACCGCGGGCACGATTTACTGGGGATCGAGAACGATTTGCGATTCACCGAGCGCGCGTTTCGAGCGATGATCGACGTGTTCGGGTACAAGCCGAGAGTCAGCGCGTCGCAGTTCGCGTCTGCGAGCGGATTCGCCGTGGTGAAGATGACGACGCTATTGGACGCGCTGGCGCACGTTGAAGCGTGCGAAACAGAGATAAATCGGCGAGATCGAGATGGAGTTCGACGTCCTGAACGGCGAGCGAGATCGCGCGCTCGATTTCCCAAACGAGAGTCGACGCAGCCGGCGACGCGCATGGAGACAAGATTCGTGACATTCGACGAAGATAGCGAAGACGAGAGCGTGAGAGCATTTGATGTACGCGCGTTTGAAGACTGGGATTTCGTAGACGCGGAAGGAGGGGTAGGAAACGGACATGAAAGCGCTCACCGCACTGCGCTCGAGCGTTCCGATGGGACCATGTACTCAAATCCACAGTATCTCTCGCCTGACTGTCGGGCGATACCTCTTGATTTCGATCGGCTGGCTGTCGACACTTTAAGAGTTGAGTTTGCGGAGATGTTAGGGAGGTTATCGCGTGTGGAAAAGGAACTCACGATCGTGACAACAAAGTATCGCGATTTGGAGCAGCGAATCGACGTAAAGATGGAGAAGGCTACAACAGTCAACATGGACAACGACAACGACGAGGACGACGTCGACGAGAAAGAAAACGCCATGAGTGTTTTAGAGTCGAGTCACTCTCCCCGAGATCTAGCGAATTCACAATCTCCAAAAGAAACAACAGAGCAATTCATCAGTCGATACATCGAAAGGTTACGTGAACTAAGCGCGCGCGATGAATGGGACAGTAAAACATCATTCTAGTTTGTTATCGGCTCCTTCATTATCGGCTTCTTTGAAGCACATCACTGCCACTGTGCAGACGGCGAGGACGATTGTAGTGGAAAGAAACGGACGCCGGCGACAAAAACTAGTCATCCTACCGACAAAAGTGGTCTGTACCGCGCTCGTCGTGTCCTCCTCCGAGGTGGCTTTCATCATTCGTACGCACCGTTCACGCTCTGTTTTACTTTCTACCGATCGCGTCGTCTCTATTCGTCGACGAACACGCACGAATGCCTCGCGGATCGCTTTATCCTTCGACAACTCTAAAGCGTCACGCAGACATGACAGAGCTTCTTCATCCCTCTCCAAGGACTCCAGAGCGATCGCTTTACGATACATGGCTTTCACCGCCGTGCGATCAATTTCCAACGCCGCGTCGCATCGCATCAGAACCTCCGTTTGCCGACCGAGTTTTGCCAAAGCAGTTGCGGCGTTCGTGTTCACCGTGACTGCCATCTTTGCAATGGCGTACATTTCTTCATCCGTGATCTGAGCAGCCTGGAACAATACTCGAGAGAGTTCCGTCGCGCACTCGTCATATCTTCGAAGTGCTCTCGAGTACTCTCCTCTCGAAAACAGCGCGTTCGCTTCCTCCCGTACCACCGCGTTTGCGTCTAAAACGCGTCTCGCGGACGCCAGCGCGTCCAAACGCTCCTTTCGCCGAATCTTCGCCAGCTCTATCTCCCATTCGACGTAACAGTCTCTCGGAACGCTCTCGATTGGTTCTTTCTCGAAACAGTCACCACGCCCGCTCGGGACGACGACTCCACACACCTCGCCAACGAACATCGTGAGCGCCGCCGCCTCGAAACCGACGCACACCTCGCTCGAGCTCGCGTCCGTCCTCGCGTCGTCCACGACGAACGTCGACTCCCGCGCCGGCGTGAAACGATCGTGGCGAATCACGTCATCGTCGATGATTTGTCTCAGCCGCCATCCTCGCACGCGAAGCGTCACCTCGTCGTCGAGACGAGGACACGAAAAGTCTTCCTCGTGGTCCTCGAGCGGTGCGTCGTGGTCCGACGCCTTCGTCTCGATGAACAGACGCTTACAGCGCACTCGAGCCCCGAGCGGAAGTCTCGGACCGTGCCTGACGACGCGAGTGACGCTCCCGTCGGTGTCACCCGTGGCGGTCATGGCGTCGCGGAGTGGCGTCGCGTCGGCGCGCGCGCGCGGTCGCCTTCGGTGTCGCTCGCGCGGTGCGGTGCACTCGTGACGTGGGACGCGCATCACCGTCGTATTGAATCATCGGGCTAGGGCTATTTGGCGCGCGCGTCGCGCGTCGCGATCACATCATGTTTTGTCGTCTGAAGTCCAACGCTCGGGTCTGATACGTCTTCCCCACGCGATCGCCGAACTCGGTGTGATGCTTCCTCGGCAACCCCTTCCGTTGGCGTCGCGCGTTCGCGGCCTCTTCGGATAACGCCAGCGCGGTGTCACCGCTCACGCCGGGCGCCAGACGAGCCACCTTGGTGAAACCCAACGCGTGCGCCCCCAGGGCGATCTGCAAGCCCCAGAACCCGAGCTTGAAGTAATCCTCCGAGCAGCGACCCATCGTGGGGTCACCGGTGTACGAGGGAGGGGCAAACTCACTCATTACGCGACGCTTCGCTCGAACGCGGGCGCGGGCGAGCGCGACGGAGTGACGACTCAATGACGCGGGGGCGGGCAAACCTAGGTCTCCGGGAGACGTCCTCGCGCGTCCACGGGAGTGGTCGAAAGATTGAATGAATGACGCTCACAGACGTTTACGACGGACCGCGTGGCTCTAAATTCTACTCGTAAGCGATCGTGAATCAATTCCACGTCAGCGCTTCCGTTGGGAGATGCCCGGCGTCGCCGAGCGATCGAAGCGAGACGCGTCCGCTAGGATGGACGTCGACGCGCGTGATGGACGCGTTGTAAAGACCTATTCGGAGCCAAGCGTCGGGAGGAAGCTGAAGCGCTCGTAGAACGGAGTATCGGATGACGTTACCGTGGCATACGAAGATCTCGTGCACGACGGATGGTGGCTCCGCGGCTTCGCCCGATGGTCGATTTCGTTGGTCCGCGGCGGCGCGATGAAATATCGATCGAAACCCTGCCTCTATGCGCGGCGATTCGCTTTGATGCACCTCCTCTTTTTGGTTCCACGTGTCTGGCTCGGGTCGACAAGGTGCGCCCTCTCGAATGAGATGTGAAACTTCCCGCCTCACGTGTGGAAAAGCTGACTCTGCGATGACATCCGCCGTCTCTCTCGCCCGCGTCATGGAGCTATGTATCATCACCGATGGGGTCGATCCAGCAAAGTCACCATCGACCGACCCACTCTCAATCAACATTTTAAGCCGTAACGCCGTTCTTTTACTTTGTTCTAGGCCCAGCGATGTGAGTCTACGAGCGCCGTCCTCGACGTCCCCGTTTTCTGGCTCCGCTTGCCCGTGCCGCACCAACCAGACGACGCGCGTCGGCTGTTTAGACGCCCCACCTTTCACCTCCTCGTTCACGGGATTCCAATCGTAACGCCATCGCGTGCGCGAGCGCTCGTCGTGAGACACAGCCGCACGCGGCGCGAGCTCGTTTTCAACTTCAACTGTCGAAGAGTTTGTTTCGCGTTCGCTGTACGCGCGGGCGACGACGATCGGGGCGACGACGACGGAGCAGGCGTACGCACACGCGCGCGTGGCGAACCTCGACATGGAGCGACGCGTCAACGTCGACGAGTGAGGTTGCCCAGTTGCAGGACGCAGGAAAGCTGAAGTTGAACGTTGCCGACGCTTCGTTTCTGGGTTTGACTGACTAGTGTGACAACGCGCGGATTTCTTTCTACTGTATTTAGCTGTCTTCGAAGATCTTTTCCGAAGCGGTCATGTCGCTCGCAGAGTGAGAGCGCCGCTTCGCGTGGGCAAGCTCGACGATGACGTGGGAGACCCCAGCGACGCTCAGGTCCTCATCAAGAACTTGCGGCAAGAACTTTTCCCCGAGCAAGTCGATGAGAGCACGATTTTCAGGATCGGTGTTATGAACGCGGATGGTTTTGCCGACGTCGGCATATCGCACGTACAACGAATTCAACGCGGCCAATGACGAGTAATCCCTGATTTTGCACCTATCCATGTAAATGACGACGTCGACGGGATCCGGCCCCATGCGAAAAGAGTTTGTGAATTCGCGATCAGTACCGAAGAAGAGCTCTCCAGAGACGTCGTACGCCACGCGAGTGCTCCCCTTTTCGCATCCGAAGATCTCTTCTTCGCGACGGACGACCTTTAATGATCCAGTCGAATTATCCCACGCGTAGAACAAGCACGCGACGACGACCCCGACTCCAACGGCAATGGCCAAGTTGGTTCTCTCCGTCACGACGGTGACCAAGATGATGATAGCGGAGTCTTTCCATCGTATGCGGTCGTTCGTATCGAACCAGAACTTTCGAATTCGTCTACCAGCGTAGTCTTCGCGTGTTCCGTCGGCTTTGCGACCGATTATCAGCCCTTTGAGGTCTCCAGACATGAGGGGTAAGCACGTCCAATCAAATGTGTAAATGACTATCATGAATAAAACTCCCGTCAATGCGGCGAGAGGTATCAGTTCGATCACCTTGGAAGCGGCAACGATGAAAATAAGGAACATAATGGACGCGAAGCCAGTGGATAGACGTCCGACACCGCCAGATTTGACGTTGATTTGCGATTGCCCAATCATGGCGTCGCCGCCCATCGCTTTGAACATGCCGGACATCGTGTTTGCAATGCCTTGTGCGATACACTCTTGCGTGAAACGTCCAGTTGCATCCGAGGTGTCGTCCAAAATCTCATCAACGCACTGAAGTGTGAGCACCGATTCGATCAAACCGACCGCGGCGAGAGAAAACGTGATCCCAAACACATGGGCAAAAGACTTGCTGGTGAGGTTGACTTTCGGCGTGTGGTACAGTGGAAAATCAACCTTCACAGGCGCCGCATCGCGCACGACCGGGGTGCCCGCATGGATCAGTGGACGGTTAATCGCGTGTTCCAAAAGTAAGCACCAGAGAATCGCCACAAGAGAGGATGGAAGGACCTTGGTGTACTTAGGTAAGAAGTGCACGATGAGCATCGACGAGAAAACATAAAACAACATGAGCCAAGTGACGCCTTGATCGAGCGTGCGCCATCTCAAAGAGTCCTCGTAACCACTGTGAATGCCATGCTCTTTATTTGCCATGAATTCAGCCAAGGAGATATGGCCACTGGAGTCGGTATCTACTTGAGTGACGATGCCCGCGACGTATGCGTTCAAGTCGCTCGATGACAAATCTGGCAGTTCTGCAGAGAAAATACTCGTCACCTCCGCCGTGCTTAATGATCCATCACGATTGGCATCGAACAAATTGAATGCGACTTGCCAATCTTTCTCTTTGAACACTTCCAGCTGTGCCTTGAAGATGATGATGGCCAAACCGTTGACGAATCCTGTCATGACGGTTTGCGGAATCATTCGCATGAGTCGTCCAGCCTGGAGGATCCCGAGAACGATCTGTAACACCCCACACAAGATCATGATCATAAACAACCACTCCAAACGCGCGTCGTATGCTTGGTGCCGCAGACTCTGACAACCAGCGGCGGTACCCGTGCACGACGCGATCTCTCCCCACTCCAATAGCTTTGCCTGCGGGAGCAACCCGTTCGGTTCCATTATTTTCACGGCAACGACCGCCATGGCGCCAGCGGCGCCGCTCACCATCCCCGGTCGTCCACCGATCAACGCAGTGATGATCCCCATGAAAAACGTGGCGTACAATCCAACCACCGGGTCCACCATGGCGACGAATGAAAACGCCACCGACTCCGGCACCTGCGCCACGGCCACGGTGAGCCCGCTCAGGAGTTCGCTCTTCAGTTTCTGCGGTTCGGCGCGGTAGTAATCGTACGATTCCTTGAAGTACTTCGGACCGCTCAGGAACGTGTCCGAGAACCCGAGGCGGTGCATGAGTTTTTGCATCCCATTCATGGCGGCGACCGACGCCGCGAGCGCCTCTTCGTGCGCGGCGTCTTCGAGCGCTTGCTTGCTCGGCGCCGTCGACGCGGACGTCGCATCGGCGTGGACCATGTCGCTCGCGTCGACGCGGGCGCGGGCGCGGGCGCGGGCGGGGCGTCGCGCGGTGACGCGCGAGGGGCGACTCGGGACCACGCGACGTGGGGCGTCGCGGCGGCGTCGCATCGAAAGACACCATGGAACGCGGACACCGGGCGGGGCGATCGAACGCGACGCGGACGCGGACGCGCGGATGCGCGAGCGCACGTACGGTCATCTCTTAAGCCTCGGTGCGTGAGATGAAAAGGTCACGGTGCGAGATTTCTCGGCGTGACGTCAAAAGAGAGGGAAAGCTGATGAAAATACAATCAAGACGCTTTCCCGTGGATCTTGTCGCACGTGTCGAACGCGTACGCCGCGACGGTGCTACTGACACCAGTCGGATCGATGAGTGATGCGAGCTCCGCCGCCGCACGAACAGCATCCGTCTCTGATTGTACATTGGCGATGCTGCTCATAGTACTCATATACCCTGTGTGCTTGCCGTGAACCTCCATGGCTTTGTCTAAGGCCTTCGCCGCGTCTTTGAGAGCAGAGGCCTTACTTCCGGCTTGTGCAACTTTAGTGGCAGCGCGGGCCCCGCTCTTGGCACCCGTCGTAGCAGCTCCAGATGATCCAGCAGACGCCACAAACGCGACGATTTCGAGCGGTCCGAGGATCTGATTTGTAACAGCAGATCCGCAAGCGGCGTCGTCACTCGCCGCACCCATGCCGCAATCGACCCACTTCTTGCCACTCACCGTCGGCGCGGTTCCCCAGCAAACGGGACCTACACCATTGAAGCCAGATCTGCACTTCGGGTAACACAGACCGGCGTCATACTCATCACCAGGAGCACATGTGGCCGCTTCCATACCGTGCGAGCAGTATATCTTTTTTGGGCAACTCGGTGCGATTCCCGAGTTATAACCGTTCCTGACGCAATCGACGCCGCACAGGTTGCAGCCGATCCAGTGCGGGTGTGACCCTGGACAGTGAGGATAGCACAAACCGAGGCAATCTTGATAATTCCCGCACATACTTCCTCCGCATACGAGTCTCGTCTTCGCCGCCCCACCCAGTAGACGACGACCGGAGGATTTGTGTTCTCCGAGGGTGGAAGAATCAGACGCCCAAGTAGTCCAACCGCACCGGATTTCACCGACACCACGGCCGTGATTACCACTATAACAGAGAAGGCCGTGATCAGTGAAGCCAGAGCCACAGCGTTGATGGCAGTCGTACCCAAAACGATAATAATTGCCGAGGTGGTGGCACTTGGTATAACAGAAGACTCCACCCGCGAGGGTTTCCTTATGTGCGGGGCAATGATTCGGGATTTTGCCCGCGCCTCGGCCGTATGAATCTTTCCAGCAGAAGTCGACGTTAATTGCGTTAGAGACGACGGCTCCGTTGACGTTAGATGCGCCGCCCACGACTTTTCCGTATCCGGAAAGCCTTGCCGCGGCGCGCGCGGCGAGCATCGCTTCGTGCTTTTCCAAAATTTCCTTGTCTTGCTCAATCTCGCGCTTGAGCTTGTCTTGGTAAGACGTAACGTTTACAGGAGGCGGTTGCGTCGCACCTTCATCGAATGTCGCTTGCGCTACCGCGTTGACAAGATCGTTCGCGTGAAGATTGTCCGCGTCTTTGGCGAACAAGTGCTCCTTGAGCAACTTGATTCGCAAAAGCGTCGCGTTCCTTCCTCCCTCTGTGGACATGAGCATTCCACCTTCGCCTTTTGATTTTGGCTGCACGCCCGGAAGTAGTTCATCGGGACCGGCGCTTCCGAGCACGGCGTAGACGTCCGGGCCGAATTCCATCTCGTCGACGTACGCGTCCAAGTCTTCAGGGAGTTCAAACTCTCCCTCGAATCCACCGAGTTGCGACGACGCCCGTCTCACCATCGCGCCGGGACGCGACAGCGCCAGCGCGCCGACGGTGAGAAGCGCGACGCCGAGCGCGGCGAAGGTGCTCCGTCGACCAGAATTCAATTTCGATCGCCCCACTCGTTCTTCATTCGCCCCGTCGTCGACCGCGGCGCCGTAGCGGGCGCCGTTCGCCTCGCTCTCGATGTTGCGTCGCATTCACCGCGTGCGCGCGCGCGCGCGTCGTCCCGAGCGATCGCGTCGCGCGCCGAGGATCTCGGCACCTCGCGCCCGTGGGTGTTGCCCTGCGTCCGTCGCCGATGAGTCGGAACCCGTGACCCGTGACCCGTGACGGTTCAACCGTCGCGAAGGCGTTCGCGCGGTGGAACCGCCGTCACCGCGTCCGGGTGGGAAAAAACCGATCCCGGCCGTCGAGGACGCGTACACGCGTACTCACGGGAATACAACGCGATGTGTCTCGCGCTCGATCGCGTGCGAACCACGCGTGGGCGATCGACACCGTCGCCACCGTCGGTGCCGCGTCGACGACACGACGCGCCGCCGACGACGAAGATGCCGGTCGATAAATTGATGATGCTCTCCGGAATGGGCACGGTGCGAGCGCCCGCGATGGGACGCGCGGCCGAGCCGTCGATCGTCGTCGATCGTCGTCGATCGGGGAATATTCGCTCGCGAGACGGCACCAGGACGGCACCAGAACGAAAAGAGGAGAGAGCGCGACGGCAACGGCGGGCGCGGACGATGGACTGACGCGCGCATCCGCTCGCGCACAGCTCGGATACGGGACGCAAATGAGATTCGCCGGTAAGACGTTCTCAAACATGTACTGGAAGGAGGGCGAACGGAACAAGGCCGACACGGTGCAAGCGAACTGGCTCGGTACCGTATTGCTCGGCACTTCGGCGATTCAGCTCTGCGCCGCGCTCGACGGCGAATGCTCGAAGAACCAACTCGCCGGCGCCGCGCTCTCCTGGGCGCTCACCCTCCCGGAATACGTCAACCAACGCGATGATTTTCACACGCCGATGTTCTTCGCGAACGCCGGAATGGGCGCCGCGATGACCGCCGTCCTCGTCAAGGCGTGGATGGACAAAGACGGCTCGAAGTGAGCGCGCGGTCTCCACGAGCGCACATCCTCTTCCTCTCAATCGCGTAAGCGATGCGAGCGAAAACGCGCGCGCGGCGATTTCAACGCACGACGCCGCGCGACTTGTGTATTGTGTATTGTGTATTGTAACGCATCGTCACGAATAAAATATCCACGGACACCCGCGCCCGCCCCACGGCGACCGTCGTCACGCTCTCGCGCGCCGTCGCCATGGGGTGCGGGTCCAGCGCGCCCGTCGCCGAGGGCGTCGCGCGCGGTCCGCTCACGTTGACGCGCGAGGACGCGCGCGCGTTCGAGCGCGTTCGAGCGCGGTACGCGAAGATTACCAATCCTCCGCAGACGACCGCGATGGGAGCGATGGGTGCGGTGGCGCCCGACGTCTCGGCGCTGCGTGCGCTGTGCGCGTCCCTGGGAGAGGTGGACATCGAACGCGCCGTGAAGGTGTTCGCGACGTCGATGAAAGAGGCCGGAAACGCGGCGAGCGGGGAGCTGGAGCCGGTCAAGGCGGAAAAGAAGACGGCGCGCGGGAGCGAGGACGCCCGGCGATGGCGCGAGCTCGGCGCGGCGGCGATTCGAGAGAACAAGCTCGCGGTGGTGCTCTTAGCGGGAGGACAGGGCACGAGATTAGGGAGCGATAAGCCCAAGGGGATGTACAACATTGGATTACCGAGTAACAAATCGTTGTTTGAACTTCAGGGAGAGCGGTTGCGAAAACTGGGTGCGCTCGCGCGCGGCGCGGCGCCGGTGTGGTACGTCATGACGTCGCCGTTCACGCACGACATGACGGTGGAATATTTTAAATCTAAATCATTTTTTGGTCTGGACGAGAAGGATGTCTTCTTCTTCAAGCAAGGTACGCTTCCGTGCTTCACGGAAGCTGGTGAGATCATCCTATCAAGTCTCAAGGACGTGGCGCAGGCGCCTGACGGTAACGGAGGCATCTACGCCGCAATGGCTCGCGAGGGTGTGATCAAAGACATGAAGCGACGCGGTATCGAGCACGTGTACGTATATTGCGTGGACAACGCTCTAGTTCAAGTGGGCGACCCTGCGTTCGTGGGACGTTGCATCGAGAGCGGCTGCGAGGCGGGCGCCAAGGTGATCCCGAAAGCCTACCCCACTGAGCCAGTCGGTGTGTTCGCGACGCGGAAAAATCCACTGACGGGTAAGAAGGAGGTACATGTTGTCGAATACAGCGAGATTCCCGAAGAGATGGCGACGGAGAAGGACAAAAGAACGGGTGAGCTCCGATTTAACGCCGCCAACATCGCCTTGCACTATTTTTCCTTCAACTTCTTGTCCAAGTGTTGCCTGGAGATTGAGCTTCCTCATCACATTGCTCGTAAAAAGATTCCATACGTAGACTTGACGACCGGATTAACGGTCAAACCGACCGAGCCGAACGGGATAAAACTTGAGGCTTTCATCTTTGACGTCTACCGATTCGCCGAATCCGTGTGCTTCGTTCAGGGCGATCGAGCCGAGGACTTTGCCCCGGTCAAAAACGCGGAGGGCGCCGGAAAAGACTCCCCGGATACCGCCCGCGACCTCATTACAAAACTGCACGCGCGCTGGATCGCCGACGCCGGCGGTTGCGTCGCCAAAGCCAAAAAAGGAGATAAAACGCCTCGATGCGAAGTCGCCCCGAGCGTCTCCTACGCCGGCGAGGGCATTCCTCGAGGCGCCAAGCTCGCGCACCTCGCGCACGTCGCCGAGCTCGCAGACTTCGAGCTCGGCGTCCAGTGAGCACCCGACGGGTAGACCCGCGGGGCGGTGTGATACACTCCACGCAATCAACACTCACCCGAGCGCTCGACGCGCGCGCGACGCACCCGCGCCGTCGGTCGCGAACCTCCATTCGATCCGCCCCGCGCGTCCCGCGCCGAGTACGCGCCAAGCCCCCGCCTCGCGTCGCCCGTCGCGCCGCAGACCCGGG